TTAAAACTTATCAGTGAGATCCTCTGCACCATTTCCCTCATGAAATCTATGAGATTGCGGCCCCTCCCCCACGAGCGGCGTGTCTGGTGTGGGTCAGGAAGCTCTTCTTGGCTGTGTTGGTGGGGCCGACGCAGGGCAGGCTGTAATGCCAGGGTCCTGTTCCTCCCATGCCCCAGGAATTCCCCCAAAAAGAACAGGGCAGGGGGCACCCCTGTGCCACAGCTCTACCCCGCCCCTGCACAGTCTGGGGCTGCCGCGGTGGGGGGGCACTCTTAGTGCCCCAGGCCCCAGGTGGCAGCTGCAGGCTCCAGGGCCAGAGGCCGCCCTGAGGGTAATGTGGGGAGCCGTGGGCATCTCCATAGGGGCCGGTGTGGGGCAGGGATGACAGTGCCTGCCGTCGAAGTCAGTCTGAAGGGGGGCCGTGGAGCTGAATAAATGTACAACTCACTCTGAGAGGACGCCCCACATTTGGGCGCCTGATGTAGTGTGCCGCACGTTTTCTTTGGGTGAAATGAGAGAACAAAAAACACAGACAACACAGACAGACAGACAGTGGCTGCAGCCCCGATGTGGCGCAGCATCTTTATCTTTACACTGCCTTTCTCGGACCTCAGCCAAGTGCTATGTTCATCTTTCCCTTCTCAGGGGGGGCAGGCCAGAAGCAGGGGCGGTGTTTTCACACATCCTCAAGGTCTCCCTATTTTCAGAGTGAGGAGTCTTGGCTCGTCGTCGAGGACAAGATATGTTTTTGTGGGCAGATAACTTCCAAGGACGGCACCGGTTGCTCTCAAGCCTGTGCTTTCCCCTGCTGCCTTCAGACCTGGGGGAAGGTGCTTTCCCATTCTGCCTACAAACTTGTGAGAAGACAAAGGCTGTCCCCAACACAGGGACCACCCTCTGTCTTTGGAAGAAAGTCTACCTAGAGCGGGGCTACCTGGCTGACCTGGAAGTGAACAGAAACCCTTTTTCTGACTGAAGTATAATTATTTTTATAAAATGCCTTCTGTAGATCTGTCTACTCTTCGTCAGTTCAGCCCCTGACACTGGCAGACAGCCTGTTTCTCCTCCTTTTAGAATAACTTTAATCCTCTGAAAGGATCTAACTTTATCCAAGTCACATGAACCTTTGTGTGATGCCGACAGTTGTGACTTCAGAGGACTTCGGGCAAAGCCCATGTCGGGGCCGGCAGAAGGATGAACTGTGTCCTTGTGGGTAAAATTGAAACATTTCTAGAATATCTCACCAGGCTTTAGTATATCTGCATATCAATAGGTGTTCAGAGGTAGAAAGAAGTATGGCTTTAGTGCATCTGCATCTTTCCTCAGGGGTGAAGTTTATCTCCGTATCAGTGAGTGATTACTTGGGCAACCGAGGGCTTATCTGTACCTGAGAGCTGAGGGGGAAGCCGGTGTGATTGCTGCTGGAGTAGAGAAGAAAGACTGTCTGGGACTGCAGTTTGTGAGCAATAAATGGGTTTTAAACTTTATTTCTCCCTTTGACTGATTGCAGTTTTTAGAGATATTTTGCCCCGGGATTTCCTTTCCCTGGACTTACAGTCCCCTAGAGAGAGTTCAGTCCTTGCCCCTGGGTACTTGTGACTGTGACCCTACTTGGGGTGGTCTTTGCAGATGCACCAAATTAAGTTCAGGTGAGGTCATCCTGAGCCAGGGTGGGCCCCAAATCCCGTGGCTTGGGGCCTCCAGAAGAGAAGCGGCACCCATGCACAGGGTGAAGGCCCCGGCAGCCCTCCTCCATCCTGCCCCAACTCCCTAACTAAGGGACCCGGGCAGGTTCCCCTCCACAGGCCCGCAGCCCTTTGTGAACAGGCAGCTGAGAGGAGAGGATGCTCGGACCCGAGCCTGTCACTATCTTTAGGGACAAAGCTGGAGGTGGCGCCCCTGAAGCCTCTCCTCCAGTCCTCTTGACTCCCCATTGCCCCCTTCATCCTGCACTCAGCCTCCTCCTCCACCACCAGTCCTCCATTCTGCTCCAAGCTCAGCCCGGCACGGTGAGCCACCGCTGCCTCAATCCTTGCATTTCAAGAGAAGAGAAGGCTCTTCTCTGTGAGTGTTCAGATGGGCTCCTAACCCCTGGATGTCCCCCCTCTTTGTTCTGTCTTTAATCAGGGTACTTTGTGAGCGTTGCCTTGGTGCCCTGGGCTGCTAACCTTTATGGTTTAGTTGTCCTGTGAACTGGACACTTACAGCCACGTTCCCACATCTGGACAGTGTCCGGGACCTCTGCTTTCCTTGGAATACCTGATGACCCGTGTCTGTACCTGTCAAAACAGGCTGTCCACGCTGACCATGCCACATCCAGACCTCTCAGAAAACAGGAAGTCCCAGCCTCCTGCCCTGACTTCCCCTTCTGGAGGTCGAGAGTGTTTCTGGTGTCTCTCCAAAAGCCATGCCTGGAAATGGGTGTTACAGCCCCAGCCCCAGGTCAGCCTGGCTAGACTGGATGCTAAGAGACAGGGACCGTGGGCTTAGAACAGGGCGAGGGCCTCTGTAAAGAGCAAGGCAGGATACTTAGTCAGAGCAAAGTGACTACATGCAAAGAAATCCCCCTACCAAAACTCTGTGTTAAACATTAAGCTCTAGAGTCATTCTTCAGGGAGATCAGTTCATATTCCCCAGAAAAAGAGTAGCACGTGTTTTCATTATGCTAATCATTTGTAATCATGTGTAAGACTTACTTTAGCGTGCTAAAAGGCCCAGGCCTATGTGCTGTCTTTCCTCCTTCAGACCTGATGAGGTGATTTGCAAACTGGGCAACTAATTTAGCTGCAGACCCAGCTGTAAACAACATAGTCAAAGGCAGGAAGGATTCCACCTTAAAGATAAGATTGCATCTTAACAACCAGGAAGTTTAAGAAGTAAGATTCTTAACTTACTCTTTAGCAAACAGACAATACCTCAGCCCACCTTGGGGGCTGGGCAGGCGACCCGACCTTTTGATATGCTCCTAGACCGAGACACCAGTATCCCAGGGAGAATCGGAGCAGTCAATTTCTTGTGTTAAGTTAATTTTTAATATTCAGGGACCACTTAACAAGTCCACACCCCTGAGCCTTTTATCCGGTTCCCCAAAATCCTCAACTGCCTATAAAACCCCTAGACAACGCATCACCCCGGGCTCACACCAGGAGCTGTCTGTCCTCTCACTGTCTCTCTCAGTAAGTGTCCTTGGCTTTCCTACCTTGACTGTTTGCTAAGTTCATTCTTTGACTCCGCAAGCAAGAACCCCGGCATTATAAGGGTGAAGGAAGCCGCGTCAGAGATTTGGGAGTACAGCTGAAGCCTCATTTACCCTGAACCTCAAATGAAGCTGAGGGGCAGTACAGCAACCCCTTCTAGGAAGCCAGATTTCAAAAATCCCTTTACTGTTTTCATTATTCCCCTGAGGACCAGGACACAGGAGAGGTGGAGGGGAAATCCCCTGGGGACACTACAGTGGCCTTACAGATCGAAAGACACCTGCCTTCCTGGGGCCTGGTTTCTTGCTGGAAGAATCCTAATTTCTGAGGCTGCGTTGGGTTTTGCAGTCAAAGACACTGCATCAGGCAGGGAAACGTGTTTCCTCAGGCCATGTGACTTAGCTAGGGTGGGCATCCTGACCCCGACAGGCTGTTGTGCTCTCACCCTGCTGCCCACTCTGCTGGACCCCTCAACAACTCCTTGTTACTTTGGGGCCCCGGGCTCTGATATGCATGCCTGCAGGGTCCACAAGCGGCTGCTCTTCAGGGCGCACACAGGAGGTGCCTCTTGGCCATGAGGGCTGACTGTGTTGCTGACCTGGATGGGTGTCTGGGTTTTGGCTGGCACTGTGCCAGGGACAGCCAAGCTCTGCTGGCAGCCCCTCGCCATGCCCGAACATAGCAGGTGGCATGTGGGAGCAGCATTGGGCTGGGCTCTCCCCTCATTTGACATTCCTGTTGAGGAACCCCACCTGGAGAATCTTGAGCACTGGGAGTGGCTCTGGGTTCTAGTGGAGACACCTTTCCCTAGGACACATAAGGGCCAGCCCAGTGCAGTCCGCTCCCTGCCAAACCGGCTGTGTGAAGGGGTCCACCCTGCCTCTCCTGGGTCCCTCCTTACAAGATAAGCTCTCTTGCGTGCACAAGGTCAGCACAAGGTCAAAGCCACTGCAGTCGATGTAGCCTGGATCCTGCTCAGATCCAGATAAACTAGACAGCAGGGGTGGCCAATTTTGTGTGAGTTGGGGTTTGCGGATACAAGTAAATGCAAGATATTACTCCATGGCCCGTGAGAAGTGCCCCCTAAGGAGAGCCTGAGCTCAGACACTGGTGCTGGGATTGAAGGGCCAGGAGAAGCCAGCCCTGCAGGGGGAGGACAGTGTAGGTAGGAGGGGAACCTGTGGATAAAATTTAACATTTCCCAAATATCTCGCCTGGCTTTGGTCATTTGCATATCCTCAGGGGTGGAGAGAAGTTCATCTCCATGTCAATGGGTAATTACCTGAGCAAGGAGGGCCTGTCTGAACCTGAGCAGTTAAGGGGAGGTGCTGGCTGGCTTGATGGCTTCTTCTGGAGCAGAGGAGAAAAATGGCCACGGACGGCAGTTTGTAAGCAATAAACGGGTTTTAAACTTTATTTTTCCCTTTGACTGATTTCGGTTCTTAGAGGTATTTTGCCCTGGGATTTCCTCTCCCCGGACTTACAGAACCCAAAAAAGATAGAGCTTGCTGTTTGCAACCCAGAGGAAGGACAGTGTGACAGGAGTGAGTGGGCAAGGAGAGGGTGGGAGAGGGAACCCAAGGCCATTTAAATTTTTTTTAATTAGTTTTATTTTGGTATCATTAATCTACAATTACATGAAGGACATTATGTTTACTAGGCGCCCCCCTTCACCAAGCCCCCCCACATACCCGTTCAGTCACTGTCCATCAAAGCATAGTATGATGCTGTAAAATCACTACTTGTCTTCTCTGTGTTGCACAGCCCTCCCCGTGCCCCCCCCACTATACATGTTAATCATAATCAAGGCCATTTAAATTTAGTAATGATCATCTGAAGGACATTGAAGTGGAAGAGCCTGTGCCACGAGTGCCCTCAGGCCGTGCTGGTTCTGAGGGGAGAGGATTGTGAAGCATGAGATGATTTGCATCAAACACTTTGCTGGGATCCTGATACCAGCACTTGCAGTTTTTATTATTGTTGTCACTGGTGGAGGTACTATTCCCAGAATCGTGTCTTAGAGGCGATGAGGAATGAAGCCAGCAGACCAGAGTATGGAGTAACCAGCGAAGCTTTTATGGACTGTAAAGAAGGAAACGTCGGGGCTGCAGGGTCTAGGGTTTATAAGCGCAGAAACAGAAATTTACATAATTGGCAGGGGCCTGTTGCTAGGGCTGAGCTGGGTTCAAGATTCTCTGTCTCCGTGTCCACTTAGTGAGTGTGGTCTAGTGTGTTTCTCACGGGTTCAAAAGGAAAAACTCCCTTATTTTCAGGTTGATTTTTCCAGGTGGCTAGCGGTTTCTTGTTTATTGGAAGCCTTGACCCTAGGTCCCTCCTGACAGGAACTTACCTGGGCCTTGAGCTCTGTCTGTGTCTCACTAACACCTGCCTCATTATTATTACCTCTCCAAAGCCCTAGGATGTGGGAGTAGTTTCCTAGAGGAGGACACAGGCAGGGAGGGGGTAGGGGCGCAGATGCAGGCTGGGACAGCCTCGGTTATTAGTGACCATGGGAGCGCTGGCCGCTGGCTGGGAGGCTCTCTTGCCTTTGGCTGCTGTGGTCACTTAGCCACACAAGCCCCAGATGCAATAGGGCTGGTGGCCTCCACTTCGCACCCGTGTGGCCCGCCTCCTGTCCTCCGGAGCCCTCCCCAGCTGGCCGCTGGCTCCCCGGTGGACCCTGTCCGAGGTGCTGGCCGGCCGGGGCTGGGGAGGACCCGTGCGTGGAGACCACCAAGGCCTACGCGGCCCGCGGCTGGGGGACCTGGGTGCAGACGCTGGCCGGGCCGAAATCGGGCGCTTCCTCCGAGCCCCGCCCCACGCTCGCAGGTGCAGGAGGGGGTTCCCCCTCGGGCCGAGGACGGATGTAAGGTCCACTGGGGGCGCCAGCAGCGGGGGAATTCCGGCCACACCCACCAAGCCCCGGGCAGGAGGGGCGGGCACCCGGACCCGTGAGAAAAACCACGCGGGCCAGCTGCGCCGCGGGTGCTGCGGGTACGAGCAAGCGTGGGGTGGGCACGGGGGGTGCGGGGGCAGAGCGCGGCAGCGGCGAGCGGGCTGGGCCGGGGTGTCACTTTAAGGAGTGCGGGGCGTAAAGGCGAGCCCGTGGGTGCGGGTCACATGCGTGCTAGGGGGTCCCCAGGCGGGGCCTGGGTCTGGGGTCGCGGCGGCCCGGTCCAGGCGCAGACCGGGACAGCGCCTGCGCCCCGATGCGCGCGTCCGGCCGCCGCTCCCTCCGGGCCGCCTCTTCCTTCGGCTCCGGGTTTCGGTTTCGCCGCCGGTTCCTGGTGTAACCCCGCCCTGGCGCTGTGCGGACCCCGCTGTAGGGCCACGGGCAGCAGGTGGGCGCAGGGCGTGGGCAGCGCGCGTCCCCGCGGGGTCCAGCGACCTTGCCCGAGGCGCGGGGGCTGAGGGGCTCCGGGCGGGCTGCGAGCTCCCTGGAAGGGGTGCCGGGACCCGGGGTCTGCGCCTCCAGCCCGCAACGCAGGCGTTCGCTCAAACGAGCTGCAACAGCGAAGTGATGCGAAAAGAGAGCGCATCTTGTTTCCCAGTAACTTTGAGAAGCATCCCTGCCGCAGAGGCGTGTGGCGGGGCGCGCGGCTCTCCCGCCCCCGAGCCTGCCGGCGGCCTCTGCACGAATGGCCTCGGGCGCCCCGGGGCGCGGGCGGGGAGGCGGGCGCCGAGGAGGGCGGGCCCGGGCGTGGGGAAGGATTTCTTTGGCTGGGGGATGGGCTCGGAGTTGGGCCGGTCCTGTGCTGGGAAAGGGCAAGGGAAGGCCGGGAAGCTGACTCAGTAGCGAGGCGCCCAGTGCCTGGTGGCCTGCCTAGGCCCCGGAGCAGGGAGAGACCATGGGGGCGCTGTAGTGAGGATTTCCGAGCCCCGCTGTGAGTGTGCTGGTCTGTGCGGAGCAGAGCTTGGGAGAGAAGCTACCGAGGGGACGTGAGACCCGGGCCGTGCGGGCCCCCCCACGGAGGTGTGAGAGAGTGCCCAGACCACGGTGTCGGGATTGCTTCAGGGGGCCAAGGCCGGGCTGCGTTCTGTTGGTGAAGCCAGGGAGCCCCTCACACCGTTTCAGCCCTGCCCTGCACCCAAGCACTCACCAGCTAGTAGAGACCGAACTGGTGGTGGCAGACTGGCCTGCGTGCCACAGACCTGAGCAGGGGAGCCAGGGGTCCCAGGGTAGGCGGGGCGAGGGAGGACGCAGCCTCCGGCCCATCACTAGGAACCTGACCGCCAGCCCTGTTAGCCTGGGGCTGCTCTGTGCCGGCTGGCCCCTAGGGTTGCTCTGACTCAGCCAGTGGCCACTGGCATTTCTGTAGGGCTGCTCTGTAGGCGCGGTCCCTGCCTGCCTCACGTCGTCCTCATGTCACCTGTGAGCCAGGCGCTCTTGTCTCTGAGCCCCTTGGCCAGGACGCGGTGGGCAGCCTCACCCTGTGTCATATGTCTCTGCCTGGAGACCCCCCCCTCCTCCCCACCTAGTTCTCAGTTGTACTGGCTCCCAGGCCCCCAGTCTTAGCTGGGTGGGGCCAGTGATGGAGAGTTCAGGAGGCCCAGAGTGGCAGGCCTGGTAGGGACAGCAGACGGGGAAGTGGGGGCAGGAGCTATGTGGGGGTGGGGTCAGGAAGGAGAGGGTGGGCAAGGACTTGGGATGAGGACTGGCTCTGAGCCCCATGCGGGAGCCTCTGGGTTTTGATTAAGCAGGGGAGCCTTAAGAACTGCTGTGAATTCACTTTCCCGGAAAATGAAACTGAAGCAGGGCTGTGGTCACATGACAGACAGACGGCGTGGTATATAGCCCTCTGGCTCCGGTCTGCTGCTCTTCCTTCCAGATCTGCAGGGACAGTCTGGCCTTGGGAAGCTCCCTCCCTGGAGGTATGAAGTGTCCTTCGTGCCAGCATGTCTCTAAAGACAAAGCCCCCAAGTTCTGTAGCGAGTGTGGACAGAAGATGTTTCCTGCAGCTCGCGCTCCAGGTAAGGCCGAGGGGGCACTGATGGGCCAGGGCTGAGGGTGGGGTGGAGGGGTGCTCCGGCAGACCAGGCCCCCTTCCTTTCCTGGGGATTGAAACTGGCCAGCAGGCAGCCCGGAACGGCAGTGTGAGGGCTTGTGGCTGAGGAACGCTTTCTAGAGGAAGTGCTTCCGTTAGAACAGTTTTATCTGGTCCTTCGCTGCAGGTGTCTTGCATTTTTGAAAATTTATATTTTATTTCTTAGAACTTGGGGTTCCCTTTCTTGGGAATGGGAAATGTTGGGCTGAGCTGAAGGTTCTTAAAAGATTTCAGAGGATGCTGTATGGAACTGGCCTCCCGGGCGCTGTGGTAGGGTGGGTGGTCCTCTCAGGCTGCACAGGCCCCTTCCTGGTGAGGGGAGGCTGGTTGGTGGGAGGAACCGGCTAGGTTGGGCCTCACCTGCTGACTCTAGCAGTCCTTGATTCTCTTGGTATGCTGGACCTCAGCCTGTCTCCCTGCCCTTCCTGGGACACATGAGGACCACAGGACCTTTGCTGTCAGTTCCCTCTGCCTGGAATACACTTTTCTCAGAAGGTAGCACTGCTCCACACTTCCTTCCTTTTGGTCTTTGCTCAGCTGTCTTCTCCCACTGGAGGCCACTGCAACCACTCCACTCCACTGAACGCTGCACCCTGCGCCTCCCACCACTGCCAGCTGCACTTCACCTGGCAGGTTGTCCTGTAACACTTGGACCACAGCAACGTGTGTGTGTGGACGGTGAATGCTGTCAGCACTTGACCTTCTTGCTGTCTACCTTTGGGTCATCTCTCCAGGTGGCTGTGTATTAGGGGTGAGGTAGAAGTCTCTGTGCATCCATCATTCCTGTTTCGGCTGTGTTTGTATAAGATGCTCCCATTCTAGATGCTTTTATGGATTGCAGGGGGTGTGAAGAGGTGGCTGGCTGTGTTTTGTCACTTTTTGTTTGATTGGTCTTGGTATGCTGCTAACCCTTTGGGGAGGAAGAACTTGGACAGTCAGACCTTATCTCTTGGAAGACCTGGGACTTGAGGACACAATCTCAGGCATGCTTGGGAGCTGGCTGACTTGGCTGGTTCTCATCACTGAGCGCTTGCTGTCTGGGTGTTGAATCCCGGCCTGGTTGAGCTCCTGGTGTCCAGCTGGGGTTTCCCACCTGCCAGGGCTCCCCACCCTGGTCACCAGAACATCTGCCTGGGTGGGGATCCTTGCGGGGGGGAGGCTTCTGAGGGCCCAGAGATGGAAAAAACAAAATAAAACCAAATGGTTTAATTGCTATGCGCCCATCTCTGTGCTAAGTATTGAGAGAGGAGCTCCCGTAAATCCCCAGTTTGTAGATACCAAGAGCGAAGCACAGAGAAGGCAGGTAGCCCTCCCGCAGACACACAGCTAATAACTGTGAGGCAGGACTTAACCCCAGGCTGGTAGCTCCGGAGTCGTCCACACACTCATTCTAATAGGAGGGCTCTCTGTCTCTGTCTCTCTCTCTGTCTCTCTGTCTCTCTGTCTCTCTCTCCCCCTCTCCCCTCTCCTCTCAAGCCCCCGTTTTGTGTGAGACGCTTTCACAAGATTGCTGAGGGCAACTGATGTGTTTCCCAGCAAAACAGGAAAAAAACATGTGTTTTTTGCAAAATGCTGGCAAGTAGGGAGAGTGGGCAGGGCACAGCTGTCTGCCTCGGCCAGGTCAGAGGTCACTCCTGGCTGCCAGCCCTTAGCAGGGTATGGGCATTCCCAGGGGACAGCCCGCATGTCCAGGATGCCCGGTGACCCAGCCAGCATGGGGGCGAGGCCCTGAAAGCTGTAGGGGTGGGCTGGCGTCTGGGTGGCCCTCTTCCCTGTGAGTACAGTGAGTGGGGACAGGGCTTATCTTTGGGGCTAGGGCCCTGTGGGTGTCCTCCCACCTGCTGCTAGGGGAGCAGTGCCCAGGCCCTGGTCACGGTGCAGGGCACACAGTAGGGCTGAGGGCCCAACTGGCTGCTGAAGGCACTGCTGCCTGGCTCTGGGGCTCTGGCCGTGCAGGCTCCATCTCCAAGGGCCAGGTCGGTATCGTGTGGCACTCCGCCCCAAGCACACATCGGGTCCTCTCTACTTCCTCATAGCCTGGCTGTGCCTCTATTTCCAGGAATAGAAACTGAAACCAAGATGCTGGGGGCTTGGCTGGATCTGCTGAGAGAGCATCTTCTCCTCTCATCCATCTGTAGGGCTGGGTGTGAGCTTAGGTCATCCCAGACGCTGGGCTTTAGAGCCTCTTGGGGGTCTGTGCGGGGTCTGTGGGCCCAGGAGAGCCCCTGGGCACTGCCCGGGGGGGGGTGCCAGGTCTGGGGGCCAGCAGGGGACCACAGGGATGAAGGCATGGATTGGGAACATGTGGGGAATTCCAGGCCTCCCAGAACATAGGCGGAGGGTGCCCGGCTTTGCCAGGGGTGATACTGGGAAGCAAGGGGTTTATGAGAAAGATTTCGAGGCTGGGATGAAGGAGGCGGAGGAGAGAATCATGGGCTGGCATGCTATGTGCGCTCTGACTCCTTCGCTGGTGTCACCGAGTGAAGTCATTCCGGGACCCATTAACTACTCTATTTGCACACTGACAGTTTTTTATGGTCTGTACTCAGGCGCTTTAAAACGATTATTGTTTCTGGCCCAGTTCAAAGGTTTTTTTTTGTCCAGTTCAAGAGTTCATTACTTAGGATAGTAGAGCCTCAAAATGGGGTGTCTGCTGTTCAAAACCTGTCCCCCTCCCACTCTGCCCGGTGTGCATGCACTGGTGAGCCCCGGCCTCATGGATCGGGGGTACATTCGCCTTGATTCAGCCACTCATCCAAGGGCAAGGACCAGGGCTTGGAGCACCAGTCCCCAAGGCCTGTCCTGGCCTCTGTGAAGCCCTGGGTGGCAGCATAATGCCTGGGTACAAACCCTGTTCCTCCTGTTGCATCCGGGGCCTGAGCATGCCACCTACCTGCCCTTTGGTGGCTGAGTACCTAATGGGTAATGTGCCAAGTGCCCAGTGAGCGCTAGAAAGGTTTACTCTTACTGAATCCAACTTGTCTTTTAATTTTGCTGTTCACAGAAACACAGGCTGGTGTGAATGACCCTCGCATTGCAGGAGGCTATGAGGACTGTCAGGCCCCCTGGCCTTGCCCAACCCCTGCCCGTCAGTCTCCAGGGGATGAACACAGCACGATTAACTGTTTGGCGTGTCCCCTTCCAGGTGCCGCCTCTTTGTGGAAATGCGCGTGCACACACGTGTGTTTCTCTGCGTGGACGGGGTCACGCCTCACAGTCCGCTTTTCTCGCCCGTCAGCACCTCGAGGCCTCTAGATGCGGCCGCAGCCTGGGCACCTGTGCTTTTCTGCCATTTTGCCATCATGCACTCGGCTGGGATGGGTCCTGGCCCGGGACCTTGCCTCCGACCATCTCCGGCTCCCACACCCTGCCTGGCTCCCGACGCTGAGTCTGGTTTCCTTTGCACACACACACCCCCTCTCCTGCGTGGGTGCAGTGGAGCTTGTCAGTCGGAGCGGGCTGGCATCTCCTGGGTCCTGTTCTCACTACCTTGATCAATAGGAAAGCTGAATATCTTTTCAAGGAGTGAGGTCACTTGTAGCTCTTTTTCTCTGAACTGCCTCTGCTTCTCTTTTGGGGAGCTTTTTTTTTTTTTAATTTGTATTGATTCTCGCAGGCATTGGGGCTGTTTATATTGCAGGTGGCCAGAAACCAGCTTCCCACTTGCTCAGGAGGAATGCACTGCCCCCCCCACAAGTCTAGATGGAGCGGTTCAGGGGTCCCCGTGCTCTGCCCCCACGTCCTGACAGCCCTGCTTTGTCCTAAGGCTGCCCGCCCTCCTGGAGGCACACTGGCCCGGCACTGGCTGCTTGTCGGACCGGGAGGCAGAAGTCATCAGTCAGCAATTTCCTGCCCTTCACTGGGGCCAAGGGAAGTGCCAGGTTCTGATTGGCCAGGCTGCTGGGGGGCTGCCCCCCCAGCAGAGGCTGGTAGAAGGGACTCCATCTAGATGCCATTTATCATCACAGTGGCCTGGGGCTGTGGTGCCTTACAGATAAGCTCCCAGCTTCAGTCCTGTGGCTTTCAGGTTGTTGGGGAGGAAGAAATTTTCCTTGAGTACTCAAGGTCCTCTGGCTGGTCTAAGAATCAAATTAACATGAGAGATTACAGGAGAAAATCAAGTTTAATTTTGTACATAAGGGGAATCTACATAAAAATTGAGATTCCAAAAATGGTCAGGCAAGATGAGGCATACACGGCCTGAACTAAGGAGAAGGCAGGCAGTTCACATGTGGTGAATAAAAGTTTGCTTGGTGTCTTGCCAGTGGATTTCAGCCCCGGGCAAGTTGACTGTGGATTCAGTGAACGGAGGAAGGACAATGGAACGTTCTTGGGGTGAAAGGGTTATACCCAACTTTATTCCCACAGTGGCAGGTCAGTCACTAGAATCCCGTCCACTCAGAGCGAGTCTGCAGGCAGCAAGGTGGTCTCTGCCTCTGGGCCCTCTGCCCCCACAGCCCTCTCAGTCCGCCCTCGGCGCTGCCACCACTCCAGCCCCTGCTCTCCTGCAGCCGTGCCGCCCAGGGCACTGGGCGGAGCTCTCTATACAGAGTCAGTAACATCGTATTGCCCACACGTGTGTAGTGAGCCAGCCTACCAGGGCCAGGTGAGAATCCTGACCACAGGAACCCTCACTTTACCCACACTGGGACTCCCACAAACAGTGGGACATGGAGCAGAATTTGAGCAAAGGGACTGCCAAATTCTTCCATCTACACCCGTAGATCACGGTACATAGTGTCGCCTGGGTGGTGGCTCCTCCTGGAGCCGGTCCTCTTCCGTCTGAATGGTTTTGTGCAGTTAGGGGGGAGGTCAGAGTTTCCTCCTGAATCTATTGTGCCTTGATTGCTTTTAGCTAATCTGCATGTCGAGTGGTACACCTGGGGGCAACTTCTTCCAAACCCATACAAGGTTTTTTTTGTTGTTACTCTGAGTCCTGTTGACAGTCACCAGGGAGAGGGGCCAGTAGGCTTTGTATGTTCCAGCGCTGAGGACTTACTGAGGGAAAGGGCAGGGAGAAGAGGAGAGTGCTGGGAGAGGAAAGAGGGAGGGGTTTTGAGGATGTGCCAGAGCTGGGGTGCCCTGGTGGGGCTGGAGGTGGGAAAATGGAAGTTCCCATGGCCAGGATGCTCACCTGACCCTAACCTACCTGCCCACTGTGCACGTGCAATGATGTAAACTTGTGCGGTGTGTGTGGACAATGAGCCAATATCGTATAAAAGGGGGCGACTGCTTGGTGCTTGCATCCAGGTGGGTCGTGGAAAGTAGATCACGGCTGTGGACGTGATTCTAGCCTTAAACCTGCTGCTGTGAGAGAAAAGCTTGATAAAAGACTTTTTACCCAGCACGTTTTGTTGTTATTTGGTCTCACGGAATCCAGAGTGAACCTGCCTGGAGCCGAAGCCCTCCGGCGCTACAGGAGGGTTCCACGCAGAAAACTGTCTGGAGTGTGTGGAAGGGGCCACTGAGACCCAGGTTTGAAAATAGGGGCCCCCTTGTTAGGCAAGAAAATAGATATGAGCAGGGTGGAAAGAGAAAAAGGGCAGTAAGCCCACTAAAAGGGACTCAAAGAGTTAACCAGTTCAACATAAAAGCTCAGACGGCCAGGAGCAACTTGGCCTAGAAGTTTGAGTACCCCCAGATAAAAGTACCTCAGCATAGCCTGTGCTTTCCGTTGCCTCAAGTAGCACATACCATTGTAAGATTTACTTCAGCACCTGCTCAAAGACGCAGCTTATTCAGGAAGAATTCTGTCTTTAAGTTAAGATTGCATTTTAATCAAACGGATGGTGGCTCAGCCCACCTTGGAGGCAGCGCACACAGTCTTGATTGATATGCTTCCAGACAGAAGCTGATATCCTGGAAAGGAATCAAAGCAGAAAATTTATTGTGTTAAGTTAAAAGAAGAAACTTAATGTCTTATCAAAGACAACATTCTGGGACCATTTGACAGGTCTGCACCTGGCCCTTTGTCGCTTTCCCGAAAATCCTCATCTGCCTAAAAAACCCCAGATCTTTCCGGTGCGTTCCTCCTTTCGAGGTCGCCCGCGCTAAGTGCGAAGTGTTAAAACTTTATCCCACCTTCCAGCCCGCCTCTTCTGGGGGATAGATCACACTCCCCTTTCTCCAAGTGTGCACTTGCTGTCTTTAAATAAAACTTAAACTTTCCAGGGCACCTCTCCTCCCTGAGGTTGCCTGCACTTTTTCTCTCTTTAAGTAACTTTAAGTAAAACTTTTGCTCTGTTTCACTACTGTGTCTCTGCCCTTCAATTCTTTGTTGCGGCGGGGACGAGAACTGAGGAAAATACACAACGTCCCCCAGCACCCTGAAGGGCTCAGTTTGGGAGCAGCCACTGCATCAGGTGCTTGTTGCTACGTGGATGAGGGCTGTAAAGGGGTGTGGTTCTGGAGGGAGACCAGACCAGTGTGCATGGACCCCACCAGGAGAGGGGCTGGGAAGGGGTGCTGGCCCCTGAGGGGAGAGCAGGAATTGCTTTGGGGAGGGAGGTGGGTTGAGCTCTGTCCTGGAGCCATGGAGTGTGAGGGGCTGCAGAGACACAAGGGCCTGGGCACCCTGCTGACAGGGACATCAGGCTGCTCACTTTCTGTCTGGATTCAGCCGTCCCTGGGGGCTGCGCCTGGGATCCAGGGTCCTCGTGCCTGCCTGAGAGCAGGCTGTTGCACGCTCGTCTTCCTCCACCCAGGAGAGGAGGGAGGGGAGAAGGGGGCACCTGTGGGAGGATCTCAAGTCCCCTCTACCTGTCACCTGCCTGTCCCCGAGGTCTGACCCACATGCGTCTGCCTCTGTAGATCCTGAGAACCATGGCCCCAAGGTGCCACAGCCCCCTGAGGGGGAGATGGAGAGCGGGCAAGAGCTGAAGGAGGAAAGCGGCCCTTTCTCAGGCTCTAGTGATCTGGGCTCCAGTGACCTTCAGGAAACTGCGGACGACCTGAGTTCCGGTGCCTCCTGGACCTTCCAACGAGTGAGTGTGCCGCCCTGCTGGCGGGGTCTGCGAGAGCAGCAGTGCCCCTTCCAACCTGCTCTTCCCGGAAGCAGTTCCCTGCCGCGGATTTCATCAGTGGGTGAATGAGGTCCCCACATCCCCACGGCATCCTCCCAGGATGACCTTACGGCCCTGATGCCCGGTGCCCCCTGCCAGGATTGTTCCCCGCAGCCCAGCCTGTGGGCCATGTAGCTGTTGTTCTCTGTGCCTGCCTCATCGCATAGTCTCTGGGTTGCAACCCCCTGGGGTTGTCACCTGCCTTCTCCCACCAGACCCCTGCTGTGTCACCCCAAAGCCGGGGCTGGGCTGGGGCTGAACTCTTAGCTGCTGCCCTGTGGGTGTCCAGCTCCTCCTGGGGCCTTCTTGCGTTAACGGTGCAGGCCCCGACGTGTCTGGAAGCTCAGGATCAGGGTGGGTGCACGGGAAACAGCGCTGGCCCCCTAGGCTGGCAGCCACTCCTCCTCAAAGGGAAGGCTGGGCTGGCTTTCGTCTCCCTACAAGGTCAGACCCCAAGGGAGTGTCTCCTGGGATGTAGCCAGGCTGGGGCCCCAGGGAAGGCGAGCAGGGAGTCACTGGGACAGGTCAGGGAGGATCGGGGTGGGGGGGCTCCCCTATGCCGACGGTCAGCCCCCAGGTTTCCTGCTGACGCTGGGAGGGTGCTGTCTGTGTCTGGGGTGGGGCTGGTTTCTGGCCCTCAGCTCCTTGCAGTGGCCGGGCTGGGTTGGGAGGTGCTGTAGCTGCCGGTGCCGTGGTCTGTCGTTAGTATGTGGTGTGTGAGTGTGTGTGTGTGTCCTTCCCCTTGTAGAGTAATCCATCCAGAGCTGGGTGGCCAGCTCGGGACCACGTGGGACATGGAGCGTCAAATCAGGGTAAACTGAAGTGAGTCTCAGGGACACACTGGTTGAAACGACCGCCACTGAGTCCAGCAGGATTAGGTCATTGTGTTCTGAGAACCACCTAAAGCAAAGGATAAAGAACTTCCGGGCGGGCTTCTAAAGAACAGGGCGCATTTGGGCTGTCAGGGTCGTCCCGCTGACTGGATCGGCCAGCCCCTCCCTACTCGGGCTCCCGCAGCCGCTTCCCCACTTGCTGGAAATAAAACAGGATGGGAAAAAATTGTGTCTCAGACTAGAAAGATGAATGAAATAGCAAAGTGACAAAGGCATTTGCCACCAGAGATGGAGGTGGGTGAGTTCTCGACCTCATCCTGAAAAATAATTCAGAGACAAGTGCAATTGGCTTATTCAGCAAAGAGTCTGATACGGCAGTAAATGCACAGTTGGGGTGTGGGCACCCTCAGATAGGGGCGAGGGGTGAGCTTGAAGTGTAGGGTTTGAGGATTTATAGGGCTTTTGGGTAGGGGTCAGCATAAGGCATGATGTATACAGGTGACTCATAATTCCTTTGAAGTTTTGTCTTAAGAATAGGGCTATTTAGGGGACTGTGTTGATCTGGATCTTGACGTTCTTTATCCACAGGTTCATTACACTTTGGAGGTCTGTCTCCTGTCCTGGTTACAAAGTTACTTAATTGATGAAGGGGCAGGAAAAAGAGGAAGAACAGCCTATAGATTAAGTTAATGAATAGACTGGGTCTTTTTCGCAGGCTAAGTAGGTTTTACACTGGCCTGACTGACCCTTGTCCCATGTCCCTGCTTTTCTCAAACCCGGAAAGGCAGGTGTCCTTTGGCCTACTCTTTTACTTCTGTGATTTTATTATAAGGAAATAACCTCAGAAAGGCATCTGAAGGATTAGTGTAGGATTAACTCACAGGCTTAGTCTTCTCTGGCCAGTTTCTGGAATCCACCTGAATATTCTGCCATGGGGAACGCCATCGGTAGCATTAGGGCAGAGCGTACTGTGGCCTTTGACTGTTATTTTCTCCAAGTTTAATGGTGTGAGGAAATTCTTGAAATCAAATAAACTACATAAAGACAAAGATTTTTTTTAAAAAAAACCCAACAGTGTACAGTAGAGTGACAACAGCAAAAATGGCAGCAACGGGAGCCCCATGGGCCTGTCCCTCCAGAGAAACGCTGGAAACACTGACGCAGACCGTAAGAAGACATTTGGTGGAAATGCTGGAGAATAGCACGAGATGGACAGTCACTCAGTGAATCATTCAACGGCAACCCAACCGAGTTAGGGGAGCTTCATGGTGCTTGAACCAGCCCTGCCTGCCCCTCGCTGGCATGCCACCTGGCACGCTGGCGGTCTGCAGGCAGGCAGCCTGCGGTTCCAAAGTGGGTTCTGGTTCTGGAGGGAGCAGAGCAGACCTTGTTCCCGGGGAACTGGGTTTGTCTGTTCTGACCTGGTTGGGTTCCCTGTGGGAATGATACAGGGCGCGCCTTCATTTGCGCCTCCCTTGGAACACTGAGAGGCAGTCAGGCAAAGGGTGTTCCTGGAAAACTTAGCAGGCAACGCCCAGATTTCCTTTAGCAGCGATGGCGTGTCTGGAACTAGGTGGTGGTGGTGGTTGCACGGCATTGTGGGGCACTAGATACCACAGGATTGTGCACTTTAAAATGGTTCATTTTCTGTTATGTGATTTTTGCCTCTGCATAAAAAAGAAAGTGTTGTCACAGAAGAGGATTTTTTTTAAAGCCCAAATGCACCCACACCCACACATGGAAGGAAGTCAGAGGGAGGCCCATGAGCAAACGCGGCAGGGTTGTCTCTGATGAGCTCGGGGGGCGTTTGTGGTCGCCCCCAGTCCCTGCAGTGACCCTACATAATCCAAATGGTCAGAAAGTGGAGGTCCTCTGTTGAAGGAGCCTCTAGGTGTGACTGCAATGTCCCATGGTGGAAGGACTGTGCCAGGGAACGAGGGGAAAAAGCCCCGGAACGAGGTGGGCACCCCAGCAGAGGGGAGGCCTGTGCTGGCCACTGAGTGAGTGGGCCCTCCGTCCCTCAGTCCTGGCTGGGTGTGCAGGTAGGGGTAGCTCCCCTCCTGCCCCACCTGCCGCCCGGGTGACCGTCTCTCCCTGGTCTCTTCACTAGGCCCTTTGGTGCCAACCGGGTGCCTCTGCCAGTTCTTGCTTCTTTCTTAGAGGCCCAGGACTGGTTCTCCCTGGGGTGGGTTGATAATGCCAACTGACCCTGTGGTTCCCACCTCTCTTCTGCTCGCTTCCAGCCGCCAGGTGATGGGAGAGGGACTCCTGGGGCTGAGCAGGCAGGCTTGGGCCTGGGGACCCCCCTGACCCCAGTGTTCTGCCCCTCCCTGCTGAGTTCACACCAAGCACCTGATGCCAAGATCCATCCCCCTTCCCCTTCACGCTGTTCTCCGCTGCTTCCCAACCCTTGGCCCAGCAGCCCTTGGCCTTTTGCCCTCGTTGCTTGCCTGAGGGTGGTGCCTGGGAGGCCCAAGTATCCCCCGGGTCCTGGGCTGGCTCAAGAGCCGGTGGCCACCACTTTGTTTGCTGGCCCTCTTGATGGCCTGGGGTACCTTAGTGATCCCCTCTGAGCCTCGCCGTCTGGCCCAGAGAAAGGGCAGGCTGGTGGGAAGAGGAAGTGGGTTCTGGAGTGTTCTCTCCACGGCCCCTCGCTCCTCAGGCCCCCGAGGCCTGGCCTGGCTCTGTCTCTGCTCTTTCCAGGACTGTCTGTGCAGCTCCACTGTGTTGGAACCACTAGCCCGAGTACTGGGATGAGGCCCTGGGGAAGCAGGCCCCGGGCTTGTGTGCAGGGGGAAGTCAGGTGCACCAACCAGCTCTTGCAGGACACCGGGTCTGGCATGAGCCAGTTCTCCTCTGCGGCTTTGCTCAGCCCACTGGCTTGCCCATGGAAGCCCTTCCCTGGGTCCCCTGCGCGGGCCCCTCTCCCTGCTGGCCCTGGACCCTGATGGGGCTCAGGAGCAGCTGAGGCTGAGCTGGCCTCTTAGGCTGTGCCTGTAGTCGCCTTGCCCTGCCTGCACAGTCATGTTTCAATAGGGACTTGCATCCCAGCTTTCGTAGATGCAGCAGATTGCCTGTCCAATGAGCTGGAGGCAGCTAATTACCCTCCCAGTAAAAGAAGAAAGAAGGCTTCAACCCCAGCTGGGGTCCCTGGCTCCTGCTCTGCAGACCCCAACAGGCACGGCTTGCCTCCTGTTGTGTTTGCATTACTGCTTTGCAGACACTGCGCTTTCTACTAACCGAACCCTGTGGCCACCCTGTGTCAGTCGAGCGTGTCCATCGGTGCCATTTTTCCAATGGCATTTTCCCCCTTCGTGTCTCTGTATCACACTTTGGGAGTTCCTGCAATATTTCACACTTTTCCATTATTACATTTGGTATGGTGATCTGTGCTCAGTGATATGGCTTACTGAAAGGTCAGGTGAGGGTGAGCATTTTGTAGCAAGAGTATTTTAAAGGATGCATGTCGTGGTTAGTCACAAGGCCACCGCACACTTAACAGACTACAGTACAGTGGAAATGTAACCTTCATCTGCACTGGGAAACCAAGGTGTTCACCTGACTCGCGTTGTTTCAGTGTTCGCTTAATCGCAGTGGCCTGGAATGGAACCGCCATAAATCCGAGGTATGCCTGTACTTTGCATAAATAGTGGGACAGGATGCCTCCCACCGCACTGTGCCTGCCGACTGACCACCCCCATCCCTGCCATCCTAGGAAGGCTGTTGAGTTTTATGCAACAAAAGCTATTAGAACATTTTCACTTGTTTGGGCTTCTGTAAGATGGAAACCTAATTTGAGGTTTGATTATTTTAACTATTAGAAATATTTGGTTGCAAATAACCGAAAACCCAGCCCATATTACTAATTCATATGTAAGGGTATCTGTCACTCACACAACTGAGAAATCCTCAGGAAGAGGCCCGATCCGGGCACCTGGATGGTGTCCCAAGTCCAGGTCTCCGTCTGCAAGGCCTTTGCTGAGGTTGAGGTCCTCCTCAGCCTCTCCGCCGCTGCCTCCAGCGCTGTGGGCCTTTCTACTGTGTGTCACACCATGGTCTCCACGGCTATCCAGCTCCTGCTGCGTCGTTCAGGGGACAGAACACCTTGCGTGGCTTCCGCAGAAGAAAGAGGGTGTGTCTCTTTCAGGGAGGCCTTTCTCAAATCTCATTGGCTCTGGTTGGGTCACATGCCCATCCCTGAACCAATCACAGCATCCAGGGTGATAAGCTGGAGGACTTAATCCTACCAGGAACACACTGGTGAGAGCAGGGAGACTGGGCGCCGTTTCCGGGAGTCGGAGGGAGTGGGAGTCGGGTCAGCCTCCTGCACGCAGACCCGGAGGCGGCCCTGAGCTGAGGCCCCGCGCCTTGCGCCTGCAGGACACGCCGAGATTCTTGGACATGATCTGTCCCATCCGGTCCTCACAATGACGCTGTGCTGGACGGACTCCAGGGTGCAGACAGGGAGCTGCGCGCACTGTGGCTCCGTGATCCACGCAGGGCCACCTGGCCAGTGTGGTCTGTGGCGGGCCGGGCAGGCACTACGCCCGGCTGGGAACCTCTGTGCCCCTGCCCCGGAGGCGCCCGCAGGCCGCTGTGGGGCAGGGCTGGCTGCTCGCCTCTCCCCACTTCCCAAGCAAATCCAGGTGCCTGTGCTTCCCACAGGGATGGTCTGTCACCCCGCTCTTCCTCTCGGTGGTGCTTGAGGGGGTCTTTGTCCCCTTGGCAGCTGCCGGCCTGTACTTGTGAGGCTGGCACTTGTCCTCAGGAGCCACGAGGTAGGCTGATCACCTGTGTGTCGGCCTGATCTCTCTGGGCCCCGCCCCAGACATCCTCTCTTGCTGCAAAGCCGCACCTGCTTGTGTGGAGCGGCCGCCCCGCCGAATCTGTCATCTCAGTGCCACAGAAGAGGAAACCGAAGCTTAGAAGGGGTCAGCTCAGGTCAGCTCCTGCACCGCCGCCAGGAGGCACGGCTCTGGCTGTGGAAGCAAGTGCTTCACAGGGTGGCGGGCGCATGCGCCGCGTCCGCAGCCCGTCCTTGCTGAACCCACGTGGCAGGCTGAGGCCGCGAGCCCAGGGCAGCTCTCACAGAGCCAGGGGGCCCGTTGGTCTGCCTGCCCAGGCTCAGCCCTTTGTCAGGCAGCTGCACTGCCCCCAGCCGACCAGCCAGGGCTCCTCTCTGAGGTCCCTGTGCAATGCCCCCGCCCCCGCCGTCACCCCACACCTGTCGTAGGTGTCTCTTCGGGGCCCCCAGCAGCCCCCCATGTACTCCTGACCCATCACTTGAGTGCGTGAAGGGGATTGGCCTGTGCTGCTGTCTGAGTATTTGGGGGGCTCTTTGTTTGTTTGATGGAAAAATTAATTGATGCTTACTGTAAAATCAGAGGCACATTTCGACCAAAAAAAGTCCAAGAATTGGCAAGCTGTTATTTTTTCCTAGTTAATTCTCTCTAGGCAGGACTAGGAATGGCATTTGTGTGTGCCTTTCAAGCTGGAGCAGCGTAGCTCCTGAATCGAGGTGTAACTGGCATCGAGTGAAGTGCACAGGCTCAGGGCAGAGTCCTCCAGGGTACACAGTGTGTGTAGCCTCCTGACCCCCACTGGGCCCAGACACGGAGTGCTCCAGTCCCCGAAGGCTCCCCAGCTTTCCTTCCCAGTCAGAAACTGTTCATTAAAATACAAATTTAATTGTTAATCCCACAAAAAAGGATATTCATAACTAGATGCAGGGCTAACAAAGTGCATGTGATTCCCCACCATCCAGTGTAAACCTGGATGTATCTAGACCTGCCAGGGTCTCCTCCCAACCGCACCCTGCCTACTCCTCAACCCGCAGGTTGTGACCCCCCCCCATCCTGACATTGTGTCCACCCCATCAGAGGGACATTTAGGGTATATATTCCTGACTCCTGTGGTCTTTAATTTTGCCTTCTGGCAATTATTTGTATCTGGTGCTCAAAACTACAGATGACAGTAATTAGGGATACATATATACATTCATAGAGATGACCAAGCAATAACTCAAGAGGCCAGTGCCACTGAAAGAAGTTTCTCATTATTAAGAGTTCCCAGGAGGAGGGTTGTGCCTCACGGGGCCACCAGTAAAGCACAGGGTGGTCAGCAGGCAGAAGTGGGGAGGGCAGAGTGTGGCCAGAGCCTGCACTGTGGGGCAAGTCTCAGCAAGTTTAGGACAGATTAGTTTGAACAGTCGTGGTGTCCTGGGCTGTAGGGTTGTCCCATATCCGGCCCTGGGTGATGTAGGGCTGGGGGAATATTGGCTCGGAGTTTGAGAGCCAGTAAAGAGGGTGGCGGGGGCATGGGCCCTGGGCTGGTTGGTTTGCGTGTGGAAGGTGTGTTCCCGCAGGAGCCATTTGCTCTGGAGGAATGAGCCAGCCCTGGGAGGGGCAGTCTCTCCAGGCTCAGCAAGGCCTGTAAAATGTAAAGCATCATAAAATACAGAAAATAAACCAGGATTAATACCAGAGGCCACGGCAGGATGAGGGTGGGATAAGGTTGGCCGGCAGTGAGCAAGGAAGCCGTGGGAGGCAGCCTCTGGCCCTGGCCCCTTGTGGATGGACAGGACCAGGGAATCTCTGTGGAATAGATGAAGCTACCTTCTCGGGGTTTGGTGCCTTTCCGACTCAGCCTGCGCCGTCTTCTTCGGAAGCCTTCTGGGCTTGGAGCTGCCTCTGGGTTCCTGGGGCACCGTGCCTCCATCAGTGCCACCCACGCTGAAACTGTCTTTTAGTCTGTGCCCCACTGAACCATGAGCTTCTTGCTCTTGAACATGTCCTACTCCTCCGTTCCTTGCGTGTGGTAGAGTTCTAGGTTCCTCTGCGAATCAGTGGAGAACCTAAGCAAATTGATTAAAGCCAGCCTCGCACTAAAAGGAGATTCTGCAAAGGGCGTTGGGCTGTGTGGTGCTTGTACGCAGCCTTCTGCTGGTCGGACTGTGGTCCTCAGGGGCTGATGTTAGAACCCTCAGGAGAGCGATGGAGATGCAGGTTCCCTGGCCCAGACCGGCCAGACCAGACTGCGTGGGGCACACGTGTGGCTCCCAGGGGCGGCCTTGGGGATGCACTGGTCCCGCTGTTCACAGCGCCAGCCTGGACCAGCAGAAGCCCCTTGGAAATAAATGCAGGATCTCAGGTGCCCCCTACGTGTGTGGAGTCACCACCTGCTTGTTACCAGATCTTTAGAGCTCTGTAGTCTGGAAGGTGGAAAGCTTAGTGCTATAACTGATTTTTCTTAAGCCTCTTTCTTTCTACCACTGTATTAGTGGATGTTAATTGTCAGGCAGGGAAATAGCCCCCCAGCGGTGCTGGAGCTCAGTCCTTGCGGCAGTTTTGCTCAGAATTCTTGGAGGGAACCCAGGCACTGACCCAGAGTGAGGCCAGGCCACCCCATGTGCACACAAACCCCGCACCCTCCCGCGTCCCTCTCCCAGGCGTCTGAACCCAGGCATGGTGGGGGTGGGTGGTGAGTCTGGACCCACATCGGGTCCAGGGATTTACAGGCCACTGGTACCAGGTGAAATGCTCAGTACTCCCCCCGAGAGCTGTGTCCCAAAGTGAGGTAGGGCTCAAGCCCCATGAGGTTCTCAGAGGGTCCTGCCACACCTGCCCCTCACAGCTGTTTCTGATCCCCAAGTCAGGAACTCCTGCCTTTGAGCAAAGATCAGCCCGGCCCAGTGCACCTGCCCCTGTGCAGGGAGCGGCCATTCGGACTTCTGCCTGAGTTTCAGCCTCATCCTTTCCTGTTTCTGTTTCTATGTACATAATTCATGTGAGTGCAGTGCAGGGGGCCCATATATGCTTTCTAACATTCAGAAACCATCCTTGCAGAGATGGTGCATCAGGAGGAGCTCTGAATTCCCAGCTTTGGTCTGGCAGAACATGGTGTATGGCTAGCACGGCTCGGCCACTTGTCCCACAAGCCTGCCCGCCATCCGTTTGTTGTCTGTCTTGATGTCATTCTTTCCAAGATAAGAAAAAGGCAGACTTAATAGATGTATGGGGGTTTGCTCGGGCTCAGCTTGATGTACTTCAGAAATTGAAAGGAGATTGGAAGAAAACATGGGTGAGAATATGGTAAATGTCAGAAGTAAAAGTGGTGTCTCTTTTCTGTTTAGAGCAAAAAGAAGAAAAAGAAGAAGAAAAACAGTCAGGACACTTCCACTTCCGGAGAGCTGGATTCCCTGTCCTTGCCCCCCTCCAGCCCCAGTAGTCTGAAATCGCTTACAAACCCTGGGTCCCAGAATGCAGCTCCACCCCAGAGCCAAGCTCAGCAGGAGGGTCTGGCCAGGGTGGCCCCACGCGTTGTCACGACGCCGCTGGGCCGCCCGGCACCCCAGGAGCCGACTCTGGGAGGCGTCCTCCCAGAAGGGAGGGACTGTGGCACCCCCCAACCCGTCAAGGGCAGAGGCCTCCCCCAGAAGGAGGCTGGCCCAAACTCTTCTGCCAGTAAAGGCCATCCTGGGAAGGAAGACACTGCCTGGGAGCTCCTGCTGCCTGAGTCAAAGGGGGAGGGCTCTGAGCCCGGGAAAGAGGGCCCAGCCAGGGCCCCCGCCTCCAGGGTGAGTGCTCGGGGGCGTGCGAGCAGGGCTGGCCTGCCGTGCTCTCTCTGTCTCCCTGTCTGGGAAGGATGTCCACTGGGACGTGCTTCCTGGGCAGGGGGCTGTGCAAGGGCTGCCCCCAACCCTGAGCTGCTGACCTGTCTGGGTTGGTGACATATGCTGGCCTTAGGCCACTGAGTCCCAGTATTCCTGTCCATTGCCTCTGATGTCTTGGGGTCTTTATTTCTTCCAGGCAACTGATGCTACAGTCAAGCTGACTGATCTGGTGAACAAGGCTGGAAAAGAAGTTAAAACCAAGACTCAGAAAACAAAGCCATCACCAACAAGTGTCCCTGCTTCCCAAGAGTGCCTCAAGGTAGAGCATCTCGTTATCTGGGAAGCTGCCTGTCCCTTCCTTCTGTCCCTCCACCGGCTGCTTTGGCCCCGTCCCTCCCTCAACTCCTGATTCAGTGACCGTGTTAGGGGTTGGGGTGCAGCCGTGACTCCTGCCTTCGTGAGCTCACAGTCTAGAGGGGAGAAGACAGACAGCAAAGGTGGGGGTGAGGAGGGTGAGGAGCGTGGTCAGGCGAGGCCTCTCCGGCGGGGGTGGTTGGCAAGCCATGTGGATCTCAGGATGTGTCCCGGGCAAACATGGCACTTGCAAAGGCCCTGAGGCCGATTTCAGGGAGCTGCAGGGAAGCCAGTGTCCCAGGAGTGAGGAGGAGAAGAGGGGCTGGGGCTGTCCCAGGGGCTGGAGAGAGGGGCCCTTGGGGCTGTGGTGAGTGGACCCGAGGGCACTGGAAGGTTCTGTGCAGGGAAGAGATGTGGCCACTCTGGCTGCTGAGAGAAGCACCAGCATGAGAAGCAGACTGGAGGCTGGTCTTCAAGGCTGGGCTCTGGTTGCTTGTTCCAGGAAACTGAAGCAGCCAGGACAGCCATGAGGAGGGAGGAAGCAGGTGCGGATGAGAAAGCGACCCGGGAGGACGCGAAGAAGCCAGGAGGGAGTAAGAGAACCCAAACGGCTGCCTCGGTGAAAGACTGGAAGGATCAAAGAAGCCCGAGAGCCAGTGCATGGAAAGTTGAGAGGTAGGAGGGAGCCAGCCTGCCCCTCTGCACCCCCAGGCCAGGGGCAGGAAGAGGGCCACACAGGCCCCAGGGGACATACCCAGGCCGCTGTTCTTGCTCTTCGCGGGAAAGGCAGCTGTCCCAATTCCTTGCTCGGTTGAAATGCTCCAGTCCCTGGGGTGCCGAGGGCAGCACGGGCCTTACAGGACTCAGGACAGAGGCTGTCGTGTCCCAGCAGGCTAACCAGCCCCCTCCTGCCACCTCCCCGAGCCCGCCAGAGCTGGGCAGAGATTGTCCCCCATGCTACGCCCATCTTCCTCGCCTGTGGAGGGAGAGATGAGGACGCACAGTCTGTGGGGCTTCTGTACTTTGCTGGGGTGTGTGTTCGTGCACAGTGGAGGAGCAGGGGCCCTGTGCGCACGTGCGTGTGTGCGTGTGTCCATGGATGGCTAGGCAGAGCTAGGTCTCATCGGTGTCTCCTCTGCGGCTTTCCTCCAGCCCCCTGAATCCCGAGGAAGGAATCACAGTGTTTTTCCACGCAATCATTTCCAAACATTTCGAGTTCAACCCCAGCTCCCACCAAGTGTTTGTCAGGGGAGGTGAAGAATTCGGGAAGCCCGAGTGGGACCTCAATGTCTGTGAGATGTACTGCACCAAGTGAGTATGTCCGAGATTGCCGGTGGGGAGCCCAGGCTCTGAAACATTGGAATAAAAATGTTGATCCAGTTGATGACCTCCTTAGACTCTTAGAAAGTAGAGATTTCAAACAGTTATTCCCTGTAATGCACTTTTTTGTTATATGTCACCGTGGCCTGTTTTCTGTTGGTTCTGTCTGGAAACCATGTCTCCAGAAGCATCCTCTTGGTCAGCATCAGTGTATAGCTTTGGGTCTGCATTCCATGCGATATTTGGGAAGAACTAAAACTTCCGAGAGGATTTTTTTGGATAACTGCGTGGAATCCTGTTTATTCACAGAAATTTATATGAGAACGGGTCCCTCGTTGAAGGCAGCACCGTCATTGCCAAGCAGCACTTGGACAAACCCATCCCGTACAAATACATCATCATGCGCAACAAGGACACCGTCGAGTACGAGTTCATCTACGAATATCAGCAGCAGGAGAGTGAACCCATCAACCGCTGTCTGCTTGTGAGGTCTTCCCTGCTGCGCTCAGGAGGTGAGCCGCCGGCGGGCTCCGGGTCACGCTCGGAACGGCAGGTGCCAGGTCTCCGCGGTGGACGTGCCTGGACACCGAAGGCTTCCTCCTTGCTTGGCATGGCCCTGCCCCACCCCTCAGCTCATACACCCAAGTTTGGAAGCATGATTTCGATCAGTTTAACGTAGCTGCTCACTTAGAAGAGGATTTTTAATAAAGGGAGAGGAGAGAAAACGGAGCCGCTGGGAAGTGAGGGGCTGGGAGGAGGGGCAGCGGTGAGCCTGGGAGCAGGTTCCAGGCCGAGACAGGGCTGGGCTGCCAGGACCTGGGGGGCGGGGGGGGGCGTGTTTCCAAATGGTGACCATGAGGGGTACTTCCAAGAGGAGACAGCAGGGGCCCGGGGGGGGGGGGGGGGGGGCGTGTTTCCAAATGGTGACCATGAGGGGTACTTCCAAGAGGAGACAGCAGGGGCCCGCCTCCCGTGTGTATTTGATACTTTCTTTCTTTTCCTCTTTATTGTCTGTATCTAATTTTGTCTTTTTTCTCCATTTCCCGTCACTGCTTGCAGCATGTGTGTTCAGTATGCGGTCTGTATGGAGTCTTCTTTGGGGGGTTTGCCCAGATCTTTGTTTGCCTAAATATTCCACGTGTGCTTGGATAGAATGAATGATGTATTTTGGGGGGACCCAGAAGTTCTGCATGCATCTATTAGATAAAGCCAATTTACTATGAAAATTCCCTTTTAAAAAAGATTGACCTGTCAGCTTCTGAGAGATGGGTTCCAGCCTGTCCCTGAGACCAGCCCCTTCGACTTGGCACTTCTCGGCTTGGGTGTCTTGTCTTGAGCTGCCCTGTCACTAGGGTGACTTTTGGGACTTGGGAGACGGAGCCCGCTTGGGCTGGGCTGGCTCAGGAGTTTAAGCAGGAGGGAGCCGTTCCAGGAAACGATGGGAAGGCCTTCACTGGCCTGCCAAGTGCCAGGGCCACTGCTGGGGCCCAGGTGGGAGATTGGGGACAAGTGTCTGGCAGGCACTGGGACTTTGTGGGTTCAGAGGCATTCTGTGTTTTGCTCCATTTAGTGTGGTAGTGGCTTATCTACATTAAGTAAGGAAGCATAGGTTTCATTATTCCCAATAAACAGGTGGGGAGAGAAATGGCTGCCCACCTCTGCCTCCTGACAGCGCCTCTCGTTGGCAGAACGTGACCTCAGTGGCAGGGCTGGTGGGAAGGTGTCCCGGCCCCAGCACTGTGATAGGGAGACTGGGCTCGGGGTCTGTCCATCTATCCGCCTGCTGGCTGCCCGTGTGGTGCTTCGCCTAAAGCTGGTAGCCAGTGGCCACAGTGCCTGCTGCTCTGCAGCCTGTGCCCCCGCTTGCCTGCCCGCTGCTGTTTTCTGCGGGTCTGTCTCACAGGCGTGTCTCCATGTCTGCACTACTGTTTGTTTTTGTTATTCCCTCTGATCTTCTTTAACGGGCAGCTGTAACCCCCCAAGCCTTAATCATGAGTCAGCGGAAGACGTGTACCACCTTATCCTTCCTTTTCCCTTGTTTCCTTGCTGTTTTCTGAACTTTTCCTGACTTTTGGATTTTCTTTCTCTTTTCTCTAGCGGGTTGGAAATTAAGCCTTTCATTTCCATTCTCGTAAATTCTGAAAGACCAAACCCCTGCCCTGCCCTCCTGGGGTGGAGATGGCCCCTGCCCAGGAGCCGGCTGGCACTCCCTGCACCCCGCGGCACCCGCCTGTCCCAGGCCAGCAGCCCTCCCCTCACCTGGTCTGGCTGGCGTTTCTGCAGAGTGGAGAGACTCCGCTGTCCCTGGTGTCAGCCCGTCTGCGGGAGGGATGCAGGGAGCAGGAGCCGCTCGGGGTGGGCGTGCGGGGGTGGTGCCCAGGCTGAGATGCACACGATGACTCCAGCTGTTCTTGTTGCTGGTGGGGGTGGGGCTGTGCCGCGGCCAACACTGCCCTGCGTGGAGTGGCCATCGCGGCCCGGCCACGAGGAGGCCGGCCTGCCACCAGCCGACTCACCACATGGTGCCCAAGTGCGAGTGAGTGATGCAGCTTCCAGGTGAAGCATGTAACCCCCATGCGGTCACTCCCTGAGGAACTCGTGTGCCAAGTGTGCCGAGCCGTCTAGTTGGGCAAAGACACGTGCCAAGTATTTTGAGGCCGGCTGCATCAGGTGACCTTGGGTCTCGCCCCAGGCCTGCGCTGCCCCCCTGCCGATAGGTACCTGCGGCGCCGTGAGCTGCGGCCGCCACGCCTCTGGGTTTTCCTTCCTCTCTTCCCGTACTTGGTTCCTTCCTCCTGTGCTCAGCCAGTCAGGGGCAGCCTCCGGGGCAGAGCACCCGGGCCCATGGGTTCTGATGATCTTACGTATGGACGGCTCTTTCTTCCACCCTCAGACTGGCACCAGTATGATGACATCATTTGTATGAGGCCTCCTGGGAAACTTCAGAGATTAGTGGACTACTTCACGGACGGCACCAAGAGAGACGTGGTGCGGGGGAAGAAGATCGCGGCCACCATCATGCTAGACGGCATCTTCGGTGTGCTGCAGACCTGGAGCCTCATCAACCTGAAGAGCTTTTTCACGCAGTTCGAGCAGTTCTACGCTGCGGTGCGCGTGCCCATGATCTACGAAGGCCGCGCGCGGCCGTGGAGCTCTCTGCAGTACAAGGAAGGGGAGGTACCAAGCTCCTGCGGGCCCCCGGCGCCTGCCTCTTCCTGCTTCCTTCCTGACAGTCAGCACCCCCTCTTCTAGAGGCCAGGCTCAGTGGCTGGGGTGCAAATGGGGGCAGGTAGACCCTTTGGGAACTCCCTGCCCTCCCCATTTTTTCCCTCCTAGTTCCACTCCCACCTCCTCGTCTGAGCCCCCCTTTACCCCCCACCCTCACCTGGCCCCACCCCCACCTCCTTGCCTGACCCCACCCATACCCCCACCCCCACCTCCTCACGCCCCGCCGGTCTCACTTCCTCACCTGGACTGTGGACCCTCCTTCTTACACGTGCACCCTGTGGTAGTGTGGCCCTGGCAGTCTTGAAACAGACTGAGGGTCACTTCTGAGCTGACAGCTGAAGCCTTAATAGCCCTGGGGCCCCCCTAGGGCCCCTCGTCCAAGCTGGGTTTCCCGACTGCACCATTGATGGCAGCTCCCAAAGGCCCAGATCCGCTGGGCCTGGGGCGTGGGGGAATCTCGGGTTTGGTGAGGGGACGGGGTGGTGGGGCACCCCTCTGTGGAGCTGCCCCCCCGCTCAGGGGCCTAGTTCCCTGCCCAGCCGATGTGGAGGTGAAGGGGCAGCTCTCGCCACATCTGACGGCCTCAGCTCTAAGGGTCTGGTGTCTTCCTTCTTTTCTGGGCTCAGGTGAAGAAAAACCTGTGGGAGTATTTGAAGAAGCAAATGGCCCCATTTCTGGACAGACACAGCGACCGTCTGCCTGACGACTGCCCAGTGAGGAGTGCATTGAGAATGGGCCTCATCGTCCTTTTCTTAGCGGAAAAGCTCAACTACCCCTTGTCCGAACACGAGCTGGTCCGGCTGTGTGGCCTCCTCTGCTCGAATGCCGAGTCGCCAGATGCCTTTCACGCTGACCTGAGCCACGTCCTTGAAACAGGTCAAAGGTATTTTGTGTGTGTGTATGTTAAGAGACTTTATAGCTCTTAATAATTTTTATCTGATTATAAAAGTAAGTGCTTGGCATAGAATGGATGAAACATGCAAGAAATAACAGCCACCCGTAATTTTACCACTCACTGCCGTTTCCTCCGGCCATTTTCCTAGCACATGAATTATTTTTAACGCTGTTACGTATTCTGCTGAATATCCTGCTTTTGAGGAGCTGTGGGGTGTCCCCTGGCTCACCCTTGTGTGTGTACATTTGGGGGGCTTACTAACCCTCTGAACCTCCATTTCCTCAGCTGTCGGGCGTTTGCAGTGGGGCTACAGCAAGGGCCTGCTGAGGGGCACTTTGCGGGGGTGCCGAGGCAGCCCCGCCTCCCATGCCACCATGTTTCTCCGTGGCGTGGTCCTGCTGTGCTCGGCCACCCAGCCAGCGGGTGTGAGGGGCTGCTGTGGGCTCACTGTGGGGCCTGTTTCCCTGCAGCTGGCGAAGGTACCTGGTGGACCTGTGCCGGATGTGCGTGGACAGGATGAAGGAGTGCTGGGTGCCGGTCCTGCCTTTGCTGCACCACTGCATGGAGCTGGCCCCCCAGAGGAAGGGCTTGGTGCTGCAGCCGGAGGACACCTGGGCGGCCCTCGAAGGAATCCCGTTCTCAGAGTACCGGGAGAAAATTCCAGATGGGTATGTTTCAGGGCCGCACTCCTGTACGTCAGTCTCGGAATAGGAGCCATGCTTCCTGGGCTTCCGGGGACGCTTAGGGAGCACTCACACCTGCCTCTAGTGACAGACAGGATGGGTCACATCTTCTAAAATTGCTTCTTGAAAACATTAAAAGAACAAAAACAAAACCATTTCAGGCATACAAGGAGTATAAAGAACACAGATGTTGCCCTGAAATCCCAGAGAGCATCGCTGTGGCTACCTGGCCACACGTATTTCCAGGGTTTCGTCCAAACGTGGACCTGTGGGTACTCTGTGTGCTTCCAAAACAAACAATAGGTCATTGTTCTCCAACCTGCTTTTGTTACTTTATAGTATTTACTGGCAGTTTCTTGTCAGTAAATACACACCTGTATTATTACTGTAATGACTGTTTAGTCATTGTAATTTATTTTTATTTAGCCAATTACTGGGCATGTGAATTGTCTCTGCACATTCACTGTGTAAGCATGCTTTTATGAGCATCCTTGTTATTTCCCTGTCCGATTATTTCCTCAAGATAAATTCCTGAGCGTGTAACTGCCCCGGCCTGGGCTCTGCACCTTGTACCTGCAAACCTCGAGGGGGTGGAGTGCCCAGTACCAAAGCTTTCTTGGGAGGAAGACACAGAAAGTGCCGTTCATAAAAGAGAAATGTTAAATCAATACAAAAATGAAATAAAAAACAGATGTGAATTAAAAGCCACCACGCATCTCCCAGCATGACTTCCCTCATTTAATCTTCTGTTAGAGAAACAGTTCCAGGTCCCTTCTGCACCCCCCTCCCAATCCAATGGGATCTAGCCTGTAGGTTTCTGGGGATCAGAACAGTGAGCTAAATTATGTCATTGCTTCTTCACTGTTACTGGAACATTTTGAAGCTAAATCCAAATTAAGATTTTCTTACATGATTATATGTATTTTAAATGTCCTTCAGTGATATGCAAACTGTGTAGAAGTTTAGCTGGTGTCAGTCGAGAGCGACATCACTAGCCGTGGTACCCAAGATCCTGTCTTTCAGGCAGAAGAGGTCTTTTGCGTGTCACAAACCCTCTGTCCATATGTTTCTTGTATCTTCTGCCCTGCTGTGGCACCCTGCTTTACTGATTTTCCAATTGTCAGCTTTTGGGGTCTCCAGTATAATGTTACAGATTCAGGATAATTCAAAGACTTTCACGGGGCTCACTTAGCCTGGCTGATCCGAGGCACGCACTCACTCATCAAAATGCTTAATTCATAAATTATCACAACCACCATGGAAAACAGTATGGAGGTTTTCAAAAAGTTAAAAGGTATTAAAAAGTTAAACCAGGACTGCTGTATGATCCAGCAATCCCACTGTGGGTGTGTCCCAAAGGGCGATCACTCTGGTAGAGAGAGCTGCACCCCATGCTCCTCGGAGCATTATTCCCAGTAACAAAGACATGGAAACAACCTAAGTGGCCATTAGTAAAAGATGTGGTTTACATAAAAATGGAATATTTTTTAGCCTTGACAAAGAAGGAAATCCACTGTTTGTGGCAATGGGGATGGACCTTGAGGGTATTATGCTAAGTGGAGTTAGTCTGATGGAGAAGACACATACTGTCTGATCTCACATGTGGAATGTAAGAAAGCTGAACGCATAGAAACAGCAGAGCAGTGGTCGCCAGGATCTGGGGGTGGGGGTAAAAAGAGATGATCAGAGACTGTGAATGTTGGCTATCAGATGACTAAACTCTGGAATCTTATGTACAGCATGGTGGCTGTAGCTAATGATCGTATATTATATACTTGAAAGTTGCTAAGAGTAAGTCTGAAATGTGCTCACCACAAAAAAGAAACAGTAGTTACATGATGGGATGCAGGTGTTTGCTAATGCTGCATTTTGTGTATGAGTGTATCAAACCAATACGTGGTAACCTTAAACTTACACAATGTCATCTGTCAATTATATCTCATCAAAGCCGGGAAACATGCACGGTTCTTAGTGAATTCTTTTATTGTGGTAAAATACACATAGGATTTGCTACAGACCATATGCAGTGAGCAGTGCAGGGCATTAGGCCCACCCGTGAATTGCGCGCCCGCCCTGCCGTCCCTCTCCAGCCTCCCCTTCCCAGGCTCTGCCTCCCTGATCCTGGCGACCACCCTTCCGCCCTCCGCTGTGAGTCTGAGTGCCCTGGGTGTTTCGCAGAAGTGGAATCCTAAAGTATTTGTCCTGTGCGGGGCTGATTGCCCTCAGCAGTATGTCCTCAAGGCCTCTCCATTTTGGTGAATCTTAACCATTTATTTTCCATTTGATTCACTGCTTAGTGTTTAAATTATTTTTAAAGTCTGAACTTTCTAGATCCCTCCTAACCCTATTTTACTTTACTTGGTCTGAGTTACTGATCTCACTGCCAGCCTTCGCCCCGTTCGTTTTCCCGTGTGCAGGCGGCAGTTGCTTCAGCTTATGGAAAAAAAGAAGCACCTGCTGCATGTGGACAAGTACCTGTTCCGATCCTGGCTCAGCGTGCTCCCGCTGAGGAGCCTGGTGCCCTACGTGAAGCAGTTCAGCGACTACCTGAGCTGCCACCCCACTTGCGTCCTGGACTGTCTGCTGGCCACCTGGTACCGGTTTCAAGGCCTTGAGGAAGTCTCCTACAGAAATGCGGAGGTCCGTCACTCAAATAGCCTTGAGTCCTTAGCAAAAGTGGATCAGAAACTAAACATGCAGAGCCCGTGATTGTTTTTCTCTGAAAATTTGACAGGATGAAGCCCTTAGAAAGAAGAGAACTGGCAGGGGGTGGGGGCAGCCCTCGGGGCTGCTTTAGTATTTCAGTAACTTGATATCGGTAAACTGTAGCCATGTGTTATTTGTGACAGTACGAGACAGGATCTGTGTCACCGTGGGGGCCGCCCCACTTCCTAGCTGTCACCTCTCCTTCCCCATTGGTGGAGGGGGAGAAGTGGTCACATTCTGAATCCTGATGTGTATTGGTAACAGACAGAAGATGGGCACGTGAGCACTTACGGAACCTTGCTCACAGACAGAAAAGAATTCATTATTTTACCTTATTTCTGTTGGATGTTTTTCAGTTTTGTTTTTGCCAAGAAGGTGGCATCATGACTCAGTCTTTCCTGTTTTTCTTTCCTTCACCCCCCTAGGCTATTGAGAATGCGTTAAAGATGCTGTTGAAACTCCTGGATGCTTATCAGGACAAGTGAGTAGAAAGCAAAGCGTCATCTGACCCTTGCCCACAGTGCCCCTCCGCTGATGGGCAGCCTCCCACATTGGCTCCGGGTCAGAAGGTCATCCGTGTATATCCCGCTTCTTTTTGCAAGTTATTAATATAATCACCCTGTTTTTTTTAAGGGAAAATAATAGATATCAGCTGCTAGGATTTCGTTTCTTTCCATCAGGCCTTTTCCTGTGCATTTTTTCCATTTACTTTGGCCATCATACTGCATATTCATGCTTACATCCCACACTCCTTTAAGCTTTAGTCTGCATGCTTTTTCCAAGTCAGGTCAGCCGAAAATAAAAATGAAAGGTAACTTTACAGAAATATCTGAATTCATTTGCTCCTGCAAATTTGTGTGGCCTCTGACACCCTGAATCAGGGACAGTATACAGAGTACAGGACAACGAAATAGGCCCATGGGGATGACGTGCTTTTGCAGAGTCTGGGGTCACTTCCAGCGTCGCCTCACCTGAATTGTGCCAGTCTCCGTTACTGTCAGGCGCCTGTGAGGCCTGGGAGCTCACCTGTGGCTGAGCGTGACGGGGGCACCCCCGGGGCTGCTCTCGTACCTTCGGAGCCTCCCAGCCAGTCAGTAACAGACGCGAGCCCTGGCCACACACAGCTCGGAGAACCAGCATGTTCTAGCGTTTCTTTCTCTTTCTCCCACCCTCCCTGTGTCTTCCTGAAATTTTTTCAGATTCATGTAAATCTTTAGTGATATACATCCTTACCTAAATGGGATGAAATTCATGCCTTAGTTGTAGGTATTTTAAAGGGAAGAAACGCGTTATGGATAATGGAAACTGTTTTCTCATTTCTGCTAAGTGCCTTCGATGATTTCTCTTTAACTCTTTGCGGGGTAGGATTCTTGAGGAGCCCTTGACAGTCCTACAGTCCTACCTGACTGTGTGTCTGAAACTTCACGAATCTACCTGCAAAATCACAAAAGAGCAGAAGTATTATGAGATGCCTGCCTTATCTGCTGAGATGGTTTGCAGAATTATTAAGCTTAAACCTCTAGTGGTAAGTGGAACACACACATATAATGTCATACCCAGGATAGGTATGGGGTTTCAAGTAGCCTCAATTCAAAAAGGAGATGGGCTAATTCTGAGATTGCTGGAATGGCCCAGAGTGGCTGATTCTGTCATCAGATACTTGTGGCGTATCCGCTTGATGCTGGATTCTGTTCTGGGCATCGAGGATATTTTGGTGAACCAGAGGCTGCGCCCTTGCTCTCCTGGGGCTTCCGCTGGAGGGAGGGAGGGAGAGAAGGGCGGCAGGGCAGGGGTTAAAGTGTCAGCAGAGAATCACAGAGGACGGGAAGAGGAGCAGAGGGGGTGGTCGGGGTGTCAGGCAAGGCCCCCTGAAATGCCCTTCCTGTTCACTGTAATTCCGTCCAGTAGCATAGTGCACACGTTAAGGGACGCGTCAGTGCCTTCCGAGCAGCTGCGTGCCCTCACGCCACCTTCCGCATCAAGCTCTGGGAAGCCCTGCACTCTGTTCCCCAACCCGGTACACCGTCCAGGGTCCCCACCCTTCTGATTTCTGCCACTTAGATTAGTTTTGCCTGTCTTCGAACTTTCTGTGTTTTGCATCTGGCTTTCATCATGCGTCATCACGTCTCCGAGATTCCTCCGCATCGTTCTGTGTATCAGCACTTCGCCCATGTTTGGTGTGCACTGTTCACCCACCCGAGCGTATGAGCTTCAGTTATAGGCGGTGTAAGGTTTTCTGTTTGGACCAGCCAGGTATTTGTTAGCCATATTACAAGTCGGAGCTGTGACATTAGGGATATAAAATGATTTTAAGTAGAGTATATGTTTGAACTCTATTTCGTTCAATTGGTCTCCTTTAGAATACCATGGACACATTTTAAAATAAATATTGGTAAGATGGTGGCTTCCTCCTGAAGTGGGTGTCATTTAAAACACCATAAGCAGGTGCCAACTTCCAAATAAACCGTTAAGAAATTCATTAGCTGTTTAGGGTGTATTTCCTGGCAGAAATCACTGTCTTAGGATTGTTTGGGAACTCATATTAGTGTAATCCACAATGTGGTCAGAACACTGCCCGCGCCAGAAAAACAAAGCTTTGTGAAACTGAGGTGAGACACAAGGGTGAGGAGGTTCCGGAAAGCTTTGGTAGGATGCTCGTGTAAAGGGCTGATGGGATTGACAGGCTGCCATATGGGAGGAAACAAGGAGCAGAGGTGAGGGCTCTGGCTTAGATTTCGGGGCTTGGGTTGTTCACTTATGCATCCCTGCCTGGCCCAGTGTGGGCACAGGGGACAGACACTAGATGGAAAAGAGGAGGGTCCTGGCACAAGGACTTGTAGGAGGGGCGCCACCCGGCAGGCGCACAGTTGCATCTCAGGGCTCAGCGGTAAGCTGGATTGCCAGTAAGATGCCCCGGGGGCAAAGGCAGGGCCTTCAGAGAGCGGCCAGTGTTCCCGCGCCTCAGAGTCAGGGAGGGGGAGCCCGTGTGGAGGGCCTTGGAGTAACAGCGGCGCAGCTGGAGGAAGCCAAGTTCTAGGGAAGGCTGGATCACAGAGGGTGTGCACACCGGGCCAGAGCTTCTGGATTGTTCTGGAAGGTTCTGTGCCCTTCCTAACCCCTCCTGCAAGGCTAGCGCTTCCTCATCCTTCAGGGCGGAGCTCCCTGCCACCCCTGCTGGGTACAGCCTCCTCTGTGTGCCTCGAAAATGCCTTGCAGTTTTCCCACTGGCACTCGCCACGGTTTCCACCACAGGCTTGTCCGTCTGTCTGTCTGTGCACCGCTGGTCTCCTGCTCCAGCAGGCCGCCCTGGCAGGAATGGCGTCCGCTTTGCCACCACATCTCCCAGCCTTGAGGCACATGGTGGTTCTCGGAGCCTCCAGAGGGAGGGAGTGGCACCAGGTCCAGCCGTTGTGGGTCCTGACACTTACAGTGTATGCTGCAGAGCACGCATGCACACGTGCACACACACCGTGCAGGTGTGGGGGCTAGTAAATGTGCTTCTGGTGAGGAGGGAGGAAGGGAGGCAGGCATCACAAGAGCCTGATGCCGGGGAAAGGGATTTTGGGGAGAATAAAGGAGAAGCCGCACCCAAAGACAGCAAGGAGAGCGGGACTGGGCCCCCTGAGGCCATGACGGCCCGCTGGTGTTGGGGGTGCGGGACTTGCACGGCCCCCTCGCCTGGGTCCTCCGGGCTGCCAGCCGCAGTGCTGCTGGGGGGCCTTTTCCACCCGCTGGAGGAGGAGTGATGACGTTGCCTCCAGTTGGGCCACGGAGATCCGCCTGTGGACAAGGTGGTCTGGTCTGATGCCCCTGGACAGGGTGGCTGAATGTCACATTAATGACCTTGCTTCTCTCCCCATTTCCCCCGAGTCATCCGTGTTCCAAACGCTCAGAGGAAATTGAAGTGCTGTGGGCTGTGCCGGTGCCAGTGCCGGTGCTGGCGCACGCGTGTGCAGCTGCAGTGCCAAAGCCGTTGGCTCTGCAGACGCGGTGAGGCAGCCCGCAGCTGCTTGGCCCCGCGGTTCCCCGACTGATAATCAGTGTCTCTCTCCCTCCCTCCCAGGAGCAGGCCTCTGCAGAAGGGCAGGGAAATGAAATGGGAAAGAAGAATTCAGTAAAAGCAGTCTTCCAGGACACCCTCACCACTACTAGAACTTGGCTCAAGAGGATCTTTAGGAGGGGCATGTTCCAGAACACATATGAGCGTCCTGTCTCATTCGTTTATCATGATGAGATCGAGGTAAGCTCCACCTAGGCAGAGGGGATGCTGAGCAGGGCGGCGGCCAGCGGCTCCCACCCTGGATGGCGGTGGCTTCCCTAACGGGGTGGCCCCAGTGGTGCTCAGGCAGCACAGCCCGGGGACACAATCTCCCCCTGCCTTCCATCCAGTCTCAGAGCAAAATGGGTGCCCCTCCCTCTGTTTGTGAGGACTTTTGAGCCAGCTGCCGGGACACAATTCTAGAAGAGGAAAGCAACCCAGCCAACAGCCCTCTGACCTCATTTAGCCAGATTTCAATAAGCTGTTGCCTGACAGGGATATGTGAACAGGATAATCACACAGTCATGTAGATGGAGCTGTGCATGAGCAGAGACAGCTGAGACTCGGGATCTCCCAGACTTAACCTGCCCACAGAAGGGCAGGGATGTTAACTCGAATGCCTGGAGCACGGAACCTGAGCGCTCACACTCAGAGGAACAAAATGCACATGAATCTTGAGCTTTATTTAGAACCTTGTTTGATGGTGGAATGGATGTAGCGATTCTGGAGTATTGTGCGTGCACTGTAAGGCCAGGCAAATGAGTGCAGTTGGATGCAGTTGGAAGCCGGGGCTCTTTCTGGCTGTGTAGGAGGGAAATGTGGACCAGGGAAGCAGGAACACCCCAGGGATTGGGAGAAGCTAGCGGTCCTCTGCATTTGGGATCCAGAAAGCAGCAGTGACCGTCCAAGCTCTCTCCATACCAAGGGCCTGGAAGTGACCTCCTGTTCCCTCGAGCACACTGAGAGCCCAGTCATGGCTTCTAAGTACCATCCTCACCGAAGGAAGCCTGCGCTTCCGGAATCAACAGCAAGTCCCGGGCTGGGAAGGAAGGGTGGAGCCAGAAGGGAGCAAGTGCCCCAGGACGGATGGCAGCATGTCTCCGGGGCACAGGACTCCCTGCAGGACCGTGTCCTAGGTTGGACCCTGGGAGGCCTGCAGTGTGGTTGGTGGCGATCTGTCAACCCTGACTTCTTAGCCTTGACAGCTAGGCGCTGCGGCCGCGTGACGGGGTCCTGGGGAGGTGCGCTAAGCTCCATATGTGGGAGAGCGCTGTGTTGTCTTCACACTATTTCTATAAATGTAAAATTATTCCACGTTTTTAAAGAAAGGCGAAAGAAGCGAGCCTGAAGGGGCTTCGGCTGGCCAAGCCGGGCGATTTGAATACCCAGAAGAGTCATACCAGGGGTGGATTCAGTTCACTGATATCTTAAACATGTTTACAGAACAAAAAGGGGGAGAGAGGCAAGCCTTTTTTTTCTTTTGTAGAAGAAAACTGAGTACTAATGTGTAGAAGAAACCGTTGCGGTAGAAAGTCCTCGTTCTGTGACACGGTGGTGACAGTGGACTTGTGAGAGCCAGCCACCGATGCCGCGATCAGGAGCTAGAAGGTGTCAGAGCAGATAACAGAGCACCCCCACCCCCACGCAGATTCCCTCCTAATACGGAGGAGGGATGAGCCCCTGGGCAATGGGGAGGTGTGGCGGAGTGGCCAGCCCTGGTGTGGCGAGGACCCCATGCCCCCTTGTCTGAGGGCCAGCAGCATCCCCGACATGTGAGGCAGATGGGGGGAAGGTGCCTGGCCTACACAAAGTACATTTTCAATGTAGTGCCACTGAATAGTGTTTCCACCAAGAACACTTCATATGACTGAGTCGTGGGAGCATTTGGGGACAAGTCAGGAGCGGGGTCGGCGTAAGACAGTGGAGTGTGTGCAGGACCCCTTGTGAGCTGTGCTGGGCATGGTGCCTGTGCTCTGGGGGTGTGGCCATGGTGGTAGCGACACCTTCCCGGGTCCCTGGCAGGCCAAGTGACGTGACACCTGCATTGTGCCTCCCAGTGGTTCGGGGGAAGAACGCGGGTCTTTATAGGGAGACTCGAGAACGTGATGGGGAGATAAATGTTTTTGATAGTCACACCTGGGAGATCTGGTGGGAGGTATGTGGTGTTTGCCATTCTTGCAAGTTGTCTGTACATTTGACATTTTTTGAAAAAAAAAAAACCAGGGAAATGTTTTCAGAATAAAAACCAGTTGCACAATGGAAGGACCTAATGGCCGCCTGATGCAGCCAGGGCCCTGCATTTCCTGAGGCTGAAGGCGTTGCCCTGATCGGCACTGACAGGGCTCGCCAGTGACAAGCATCAGGACGCAGGGGTCCTCAGTGCCCAGGGCTCTGGGTCTTAACACAGCCGCCTTTTGTGTAGGATTAGGCTGTGGCACTGACGCATACATGTTGCAGGTCTGGAGGCGGCTGGTGGAGATGCCCTTCCCCCTGGAGCGCTGGAGGGAGTCCTTGCTGGGGGACATGGAGGGGAGAATCAAACAGGTACCGGTGGGTGGGGTTCTGTTCAGGGGCAGGATAAACCGAAGCACCCGTAACAACCCATAGATGTATGTGAACTGTGCGTTTGAATGGACAGCGCTGCTGTGCCGGGGCATGGGGTAAGCGTGAGCTGCATTCTGAGCCGACCTTAACAGTTGGATATTCTGGGATATAGTTGGATACCTGCAGTGAGGCTCTGAGGAGAATAAGGGGACAGGGCCTTGCCGCCAGCAGAATCCCAGGCACAGCCTGGGCAGACCCTCCTTATTCAGGAACTCTGATTGGCTTCTTGGTGACAGGCACCTCATTAAACCCAGTGATGGGTGGGGAAAATGCCAAAGGGCTCCTCATTTTTAAGCAAGGCCTGTTATTCTAGGAAAATTAGGGTTCCTTTTAAACATGGCATGAGAATTGTATATGTAACTGTTAAATGGATGTTTTTAAGAAAGTGGAAGCGAGGAAAAAGTCATGTATTTTTCAAGATTACATGTTTCTGCGCGCTGCTGTGCAGAGAGGCTTTTTCCGTGAAGTGGGAAGAGAGGTGTTCTGAATTGTAGCCTTTTGGGGCTAATGTGGGGGGTGAAGTACTTGCTTAGCAGGGATGTGAAGTTAAAATAATGGCAGGTGAAAGTATAAGGGTGCTTTCATTCTGCAGAGTAGGCACGTGGTGCCCCAAAGCTCTCAACCCTCGTCTCCATCCTGCAGGGGACGCCTCTCGCCCAGATCTCTGTCTTCTGCAGCACCCAGTGGGTCTCCGCAGGCCCAGAAGACAGTGTGTCAAAATGCTTTCAGAAGTGTGTCATCGAAGCCGTGAGCTCCGCCTGCCAGGTGAATGCCCCTGCCTTGGGGAACGCGTTTGGATTCATCAGTTAAAGGCTGTTTGCACCTGCTGGTTTGGAGACCTTGCACCGACACAGAGGGGACACAGGTGTCCCCCTCCTAGCCTAGAGGAACGGTTCTGAAATCCAGTTCCCTTGACCCACTCCTAGAAATGCCGCTCAGCTTCCTGCCACCCCAGGTTGCCACAGCCACTCTCACACAGCCTTGAATGAAGCAGCCTCGCAGATGGCACCTAAATACCCCGTTATCATCAGTGAGAGTGGATTTGTTTTGTCTGACCACTTGCTTAGCCAGGTGTGCAGGAAAGGACTCCAAAGGTCGACAAAGCAGTGTTGGAAGAAAAATGTAGGAAGCTGAAAAGATTCTAACAGTTCATATAGGGCTTTTTTTTCCCCCTTGAAAAGTGGAAAGAGATTCTGTCCCACAGTCTCTTAGGAGCAGCCTTACTTCGCGTGTGTGTGTGTGTGTGTGTGTGTGTGTGTGTGTGTGTGTGTGTGTGTGAGAGAGAGAGAGAGATCTCTTTAGGGTTTTTTATATATAAGATCATGTCATATGGAAATAGAAATAGTTTTACTTCTTGCTCTCCAATCTGGACACCCTTTATTTTTCTTGCCTGATCACTCAGGCAACACCCTCCACTGCACCGTCGAGTAGAAATGGGGCGGGTGGATGTCCTTGTCTTGTTCCTGATGTTACCAGGAAAGGTTCAGTCTTGAATCACTGAGTCTGATGTTGGCTGTGGGTCTTTACAGATGCCTCAGGTTAGGGAAGTCCCTTGTATTCCTGGTTTTGTTGAGTGTGTTCACTCAACAATATTGGATTTTGTACTGTGCTTTCTCTGCGTCTATTGAGGCAGTCCTGTGCTTTTTTCCTATTGATATAATGTATTGCATTACCTGATTGTTTTTTTTTTTCATGTTAAACCAACCTTTCATCCTGGGATAAGTCCCACTTGATTGCGGTGCATCATCCTTTTTCTGTGATGCTGGACAAGTTTCTTCCATCCCTTTAAATATCAGAAAGCATCTGTACTAAACTACCTTCACTCTGTTTTTTTTACTAATTACTAAAACTTTTTCTGAGAACTTTGAGTGTAAAGAAGGAAAACACTTTGTTTTTTGGTGGAGCATCAGAAGGAGAATTACAGTGGATTTGCAGCCTTTAAGAGAATTACAGTGCAGGAACCCAAAGTACCGCGTGTATTCATGGCTTGTTCATGATGTACCTGGTGTTTTTCATGATATGAAAGTCTAGGAAAAGGTAAAAACTGGCAGCGAGTCAGAAGGAGAGGGGCTGTGACTCGTGGGCTGTGTTCTGTGCGTGTTTGTGTGCATGTGTCCCCACATCTTGGGTGTTTGTCACGTAAGAAGACTGTACACGGGGAGATGGAAATGCCTTAAGAAAAGGTAAGGATTTTCCTCTTCTGTTTTTTTTGAGTCCCAGAAGAGTTCCAAATGCCACTGGGCAAGTAGTTTACTTCCTTTATTCAAAAGCAAACCAATAAAAAATACATCCTAAACTTCTCTCCTTACTTCTAGTCTAATACCAGTATCCTCGAGAGAAACTCCTCCTGTGACTTGTGGAAACTGGGGACTCTTGTGTCTGCTGTGATCACGAAGTCCTGGCCGAGAATCAATGGGGAAGTTGTGGTCACCCTGGATGAGGTCCTAAAACACCTGCTTTTTTGGCCAGACATCAAGCATGTCTTGAAATTGTTTGGTATGTTTATGGGGGTGTGTTGGGAAAATCTGCTCTGTCCACTCGGTGTCCTCCTGCCCCCTGGGGAGGGCGCGCTATTTGACCTGATACCCAGGAAAGGTTGATGTTTGACAAAGGTAGCAGATTGGATGGAGGGACCCAGGAGGGTCCAGGGTATCTTGCAATGTAAATAAGAACCAGTCCTGAAAATGATCATCCTTTGAGTACTAGCTGTGCACCTGCCACTATTGCACATAGAGTCCTTGAAATGGTCCCAAACATCCTCCTTAAGATCCCCATTTTTCAGAAGAGGAAACTGAATTGGAAAAGGTAATGTGACTTAAAGTCTGGGAGATAAGGATTAAGAACTAAAATTGAAGCCCAGGCGTGTCTGGCTCTAACACACACTCTCTTACTCTGAGATGAATGGAAGTGTCTGACCCAGTGTTGGCCTGAACAAGATCTAAGCACTGTCTGATTGTTCTACCTGCACCCTCTATGTTCCCAAGCTCTTTGTGATCAAAATTGGGGAGACACACATGCCGCCCTGAAAGCATCGTATTCAGGTTGACGTGTACATTGTTAGACTTAGAAGGCCCTGGATCTGGACCTGAAAATCCCAAGTTGGATTATTCCGATTCTCAGTTCCCTCAAATAATCGGGCAGCCAAGGAGTAGCTGAGCTCCCACGTGTGGCTGTGGGAGAGAGAATCAGATCACTGTTGTGGGACTTTTATGTATGTGATTAAAAGCTTCTCACTTGAAAGGTCGTATTTGTATTTTCGTATTAATAGAACTTATTTTTAGAGTACTTGTAGTTTCACAGGAAAACTGAGCAGAAAGTACAGAGTTCCGTATTCACACCTCCCTGCCCCTGACACAGTTTCCCCTGTTAATACTGTCTTGCCTTGACGTGGTGCATCTGTTACCCCCGTCTATCCAGGCCTGGTATGTCAGTGGTAACTGACGTCTGGAGTTTGCATTAGGGCTCACTCTTTGATGTTGTACAGCCTACGGGCTTTAACAAGTATGTAATGACATGTGTCCACCAGTGTAGTGTCATACAGTTGTCTCACTGCCCTAAAATGCCCTGTGCTCCATCCATTCACCCCTCCTTGCCCCCTCCCCTGTAGTTGTCTTTTCCAGAATGTTATACAGTTGGAAGCATATAGCATGTGGCCTCTTCAAACTGGCCTCTTTGACTGAGCAAATGCATTTGAGGCCCCTTTTAATCGCTCATTTCTTCCTCTCCCTGAGTAACATTGCATCGTGTGGCTGGACCACAGCCTGTTTATCCAGTCACCTACTGAAGGATACCTTGGATGCTTCCAAGATTTTGCAATTATGAATAAAGTTGCTGTGTTTGTTTTTAATGGTGCAGATAAACTTGGTGTCCTAATACTGTGCAGCCCTAATATTACTGGGGGAGAAATCTCTGGTGGTTAAACTAAGTAGATTTAAAAATTCTACCCTCTAAATTGATGCTCAAATTCACATTCAGAATTTTGCAAGACAGCGAGCTGCAGGGCGGGTCAGGTCGTCCATTGATGCTTCCCTGTTTCCCTAATGAAACGGGCCCCGAGGGCCGTTCGAGGGCCCTTGCTGGGTGTGACAGCGTCCAGGGGAGGGATCCTCAGCGAGGAGGCATCTGAAGGAGGTTGGTGAAGGTTGAGGGGTCTCAGGTACTGAGGGGGCACAGAGTTTAGAAACCTGAGAAATGTTCTCCTGGCTGGTTTGGCCGTTGGAGAAATCACCTTCGTGAAGGAGGAAGTCAGCGGGCAACAGTTTGGACAAGGCAGAAGTGGAACCTAGTGGGTCGGGAAGCGCGCGTAGGAACTCAGGGTGCCTTGCAGAACGGCGGCTTGCTGGGCACCCTCCTGTGTAAGAGGGATGGGGGCCTCGGAAGTGGGGCGCCCATGGTTTTACCTCTGTTCTTAACCTGATCAGGAACCAACAAGACGGTCTTAGCGAACATTACGGAGAACGGCAAGAAGCTGATGGCGGTTGTGGACAATGTGCTTGCAAAAGTCACCGGGGACCTGTTGAGTGGAACGATTTTAGTTGGACAGCTGCAGCTGATCCTGAAGCACATGGATCACTTTCTTGACATCTGGCAATTGCGTGAGTGTCAGGCCAGGATGTGGACTTAACAGCCAGTGAGGGGTTCCAAGGGTGAGAAGGTCTGTTTGCCTGTGTGTTGTGGGGGTGATGTTTGTCATGTGTGTGATGAGTGGCTTTCTGGCCAGTAAGTTGCAGAGGTCGGCTTTGCATCCTCAGGAAAATAATGGGAAAAGTATACAATGATGACAAGAATACCTGCTGCATTTTCGTTCCGCATTGCTGAGCCCATGGGCCCCCTGAGAATGTGGCCGTGTGTGCGGCTTTATCGTTCTGCGGCCTTGAATGTGGAACGGATTTAAAGGGAGGTGCAAGAAGTGGGTTGCCATGGAAAAGGATATGTTTGTTTGATTGGGTTACATTTTTTATCCCCCCCAGAGAGAGAAAGTATTTCACTCCAGGAGAAAAAACATGATATGAAGAAGGTGCTGGATTGGAGAAGGAACGAGCTAATATTCCTAATGAGAGAGAAAAGATACGTTGACAGCCTCCTGAAGATGTGTGGGAAGGTGAAACACCTGATAAAAGGTGGTATTCTTAGGAATTGAAGTAAAATCAAGGGGTGTCTTTAGGGGAGAACGGCCGAGGAGGACACAGTAAAACCTATCGTAATCTTGGAGGGGAGGCTTTAGTAATGTGTTCATTTTTAACAAAGTCATGCACTGCTCTCTGGCATTTTCTGCCGTAGCTCTAGATGACGTTTGTAAACGTCCGCCCAGCTTTTCAGTTCTGAGTATTCTCCGCACAGAAGAGGAGGACGCAGATCTGTGTTTTTCCGAGCTCTGCCCCGCACACGTCACCTGTTGAGTCTCCCTTTCCTCCTGATTACATCATGATTTTCATTAGCTCACTAATCAGGGTTTAAGTGATCACAGCTGTGTAAATACACGGCTCACAACCGGGCCACCAAATTAGACCACGATGATTTTGTGTTTCTTGCACACACTTTGTTTTCTCTAGAATTGAAATTCTTGTCTTGTTCCCATGCTATGTTTTCAGTGCATTTATTTTTAATTTACCAACCGTTTGAATTTCCTTGCAAGATGATCAGGGTGATCTTTCAGAAGGAATCTCCCCAAACAGGAGGAATGTAGTTCTAGCATCTTCCTTCAGCAGCCCGGGGATGTCCTTTTCCCCTCTCCTCGATCGAACTATTCCCTGGAGCCGTGAGTTCCCTCTCTCCCTGCTGAATTTCAGCAGAACATAGCCTCTGTTAATCTCCCTGAGAAAGGGGGAGAGGAGGTTCACGTCCTTGCGTTTCTGGAGCCACCTACCCTTGAGTATGGCTGTTTGGCTCCGTGGGAATCGCAGATGGGAAACCCTCTTCCTGCAGGACTTGGGGTGTGTCGGTCCGGAGTCTCTGTAGAGTCACTTTGGGAAGTCGGAAGCAGTTCTAATTTCTGATCCTTTGTAGGCAACGTATTTTCTCTCTGGAAGCTCTTGAGATCTTTGTGCTCCTGGTATTCTGAAATTTCCCAGTGATATGCCTTGGTATGAACCAGTTGTCCACCATTGTGCCTAATCATGTGGGTCTTTCTGATCCGGAAACCCAAGAATTTGTGTTCTGGGAAATGCTCTTGAATTGTTTAACTGATTGTTTTTTTGTCTCTTGCTGGAGTTCACATTAATTGAAGATTGGGCCTCCTGGGATGGTTATCTAACTTCCGTCATTTTTCTCTCCTACTTTTCATCTCTTTGTTTCTCGCTCTGCGTTCTGAGAAATTTCCTCAGAAATTCCAACCTTTCTGTTAAGTTTTGCATTTCGGTTCTCACATGCGTTTCATTCACAGGAGCTCCTATGACCCTTTTTACTCTCCTGTTCTTGTTCGTGGTTGCCGAACCTTACCTTTCTGAGATTACTGATATTTTTGGTTTAGAGGTTTTCTTCTCTTTTTCTTGCATAGTTTCCTATTTCCTCTGAGTTGCTTTTACCTCGTGGTGCGTTCTTCACGTGAAAGACGCCCCAGGCCCCAGCAGTGCACAGTGTACGCTCAGGGAGTTCTGTGCCAGAGGCACGGCGGACGCAGCCTGCCTCCCTAGGCTGGGACTCGGCGCACCGGGGTCTCGGGGGTCCTGTGATTTCCCGCCTCCGTAGTTTTACTGCTGTGGACTCCTCCTCCGCTCTCCCTGACCCTGTCAGTTTATGGCTTTTTAAAACTATCTCTATTCAGACACTGGCGTGGGGACTGGGGAGGGAGGGAGAGAAGGCAGGTGCAGTTTTCAAATGGCCATCTGCACGCAGACATCCCAACAACCTTTGTCATGAAAACCGTCAGCCAAGGGGCCGGTGGTTGGGTAATCAGTGGATTCTTACTGAGGAAAATGCCAGCAGGTGTGTTCACCTGAGTTTCCCTAGGAGCAGCGAGTCCAGCAAATACCAGGGAAGTAACATAAAATGATGCCCGACTAGAGGTCTGACTTCTGACTTTCTCTTCTGGTTTCAAAAGTGGACTTGGGAGAGATTGTGGCGAGACACTCGGAAGACCTCAGCAGCAAAAGACTAAGTGAGGCCACGACGGTGAGGTCATCGCTCGCCTCCTCAGACCAGAGGCCCACCACGCATTACAGCCTGAGCCCCCAGGTCGAGGAGATGGCCCGCCAGCTCAGCATGCTCACGGACAGCCATGTCTTCCAGATCTTCTGGGCAGAAGCTGCCAGGGCGCTGAGCGCGTCCCAGGTGAAGGAGGAGGAGGCGCGGCCGGCCCTCCAGCCCGGAGACGTGTATCAGCAGTTGTACCGCCCTTGCTTCGAGAGGTTCACGGGTCTGTACCAGGATCTGAAGTCAGGAGAGATCACCTTTGGGGAAGTTGATGCCACCTTCAAAGACTTTGTGGGCAGATACAGCCACCTTAGCTACAACCTGCAGATCATGTGCGCCCTGGATCCCAGTGACCCCAGGGACTGGATCACAGAGCGGGTGGAGCAGATCAAGGAATACCACCACCTGCACCAGGCGGTCAGCTCGGCCCAGGTTGTCATGGAAGCCAAGGAGAATCTGGGTCTGACGGGTGACTTCAGTGTTCTCCACACTTTATTAAGCTTTGTAAGTTATCTTCCAGGGACTTCTGGGGTGGAGGTGGGGGTCCTAGCTTGGACTTGCCAGGCACCTGGGCTCCTGGCTTTAAAAGCTGGTTGATGCCTGATACAAGGGCTTTGTTTCCACCTTTGCTTGTGAATGGTATGTGTGCTCCTGGCTAAGGAGAGTTGGGTCTGCGTGAGGATTGAGAAGTTGAGAACGCGCAATGATCCCCTTAGTCAGACATTTGTAAGGAGTCATCTGAGCTCACAAGGTCAGAGGACACAGAAAGGATTCACGCTCTTGGCCGCCCTTGTCCTGGGGCCAGCCGGGCACGGTGCATGGCCAGTCACTCCGCTGAGACCTGGGAGGTGAGTCCTTTATTCTCTGCTCTCAGGCGAGCATGTTGACGGCGTCCTGGCACCTGTACCCCAGGCAGACAGGCAGCGGGCGTAAACTTGAGCGGCCAGTGTGGCATCGTGCTCCCAGCACCGTGTCTTCACCTGTGAGACAGGAGAGAGAATGGTGCATGCAGGCAGGGATGCGTGTAAGTTGCTTCGTGGAATGCCGGGTGCAGAGGCACGGCGGTCACTGCTGAATGGACGCAGGGGGCAGCAGAGGCCAGAGCATCCGTTCAGGATGAGACGCCGGGGGCAGATGTGGGAGGGCAGGGGGTGGCTGCTCAGGCTGGGGTTCCTTGTCTTACAGACGGATGACTTTGAAGACTTTCGCCACCAAAAGCTGGACCGGATCAGTAAGCAGCTCATCTCTGCCAAGAAGCTGCTGCAGGGCATCGACGAGGCCCGGCGCCAGTGCCTGCGGGAGCTGTCCCTCAGGACGGAGTTCATCGGCTGGGTCCGGGAGGCGCTTGGAGGTGCGGCTGCTCCCGGAGCTTCCCAGGGCTGCCCCGAAGCTGACAGGCCATCCCTCCCCTCGGTCAGCACTGTGCCGGGACAGACGGACGCCCTCTGTGCTCAGGAACACGGGGCCCATGTGTCCAGCATGGGCCTTGTTGGCTGTTGGTAGAATTTTCACCACAACAGTATTTCTCCTGTGTGGTGGCAAAGCTGTTTCTTCGGCTGCTTTACTTTTGCCCGTGCTCTGGGTACTTGCTGTGGAGAGCTGGCCCCTGGCCCCTGGCTTTAACATCTGGGCGGGGGAATCTGGCAGCGTCCTTCCCAAGTCCTTGCTGGCGCTTTACGTCATGCCTGATACGGCAAGGGCTCATGAATAGTGTGCGTGCTCCCGGGCCAGTGAGAGCGGGGTCTTAAATATCCTGCCGCTTGTTGCCTTTACCTCCAGTACAAGGTGAGATCTAAGTGCATCGCCTTGCCACTGTCGTGCACGTCTCTTCTGGCTGAGGGCTGGGCAGCCTTTCAGCAAAATTGCTTAGGCGCTGCGGCACAGTTACTCACAGGGGAGCCAGAGGCGGCGGAGGGGAGGCGGTGGTGCTGTGCGGGGCCTCAGGCAGGGCCATCCCCTCCAGCCTTGCTGCTCCCCGCTGCGGGCTCCTTGACACACTGTGATGCACACCCCCAATTTGTAATTAGCCCAAAGAGAAATATCTCCATTTTCTATCGTTAACTATCAACATAGTATTTACCGGTTGAGCCTCTTGCGTTTTGCATAAACTGGGGGTGTCACGTGGATTAAATGAAATAACAGGGCACGAAAGCCCCAGGGGGTACCTGGATATTGCTGTTGCTCAGTAAGGCCAGGTGCTGGCTAGTGGTTTCAACGTAAGCTGCAGAGAAAAGGTATTCAGATTCTTATTAAAAGCAGAAAGTGGGCAAAACTCTAAAAACCTACTGCATGTCCATTTATAGCTTCGCTAAGGATTCGGGTCCCAGGTCTGTGTGTCACGTCCTCACGAGCACCGCACTCACCTGTCTCCTCTTACCCCAAGGCATCACTGAGCTGAAGGTGTTCGTGGACCTGGCCTCCATCTCAGCGGGGGAGAACGACATTGACGTGGACCGGGTGGCCTGCTTCCACGATGCTGTGCAGGGTTACTCCCCTCTGCTCTATAAGCTGGACACAAGCGCGGGTTTCGATGAGCTCATGACGCATCTGAAAGAACTGTGGAAGGCTCTGGAAAATGACCAACACCTGCCCAGTAAACTCGTAAGTTTTGTTTCCCCGTTGCAGGAGAAGCTTACATATCGCTTGGCCACACCAGAGGCGTGTGGCAGTGATGACACTTCCATGTGGCAGGCGTTTAGGCAGCCTTTTAAAAGAAGGTTTGAAAACAGTTCTTCATATGTGGAAATGCTTTCTCTGCCTTGTTATGTTAGGAAGCGTGGTCCAAAATCACAGAGGTGAGAGTAACATCTGTGATGCAAAACACACGTGCAGGAACACGTAGGGGAGAAGAGTGCTGCGTCTCCAGCAGGCGCTCTGAGCGGTGACGGTGCCTGTGACTCAGTTCTGTGTTCTGTTTGGTATTTTCCACGTTTTCCACAATTGGTCTTGAAATTTTATTTTATCAGAAAAATAAACCCTTCGTTTTAAGTAAGCCAGCTGCTCCACGGCCTGCGTAGACCTGTACTACACACCTTAACTGAGGAGCCGGGATATTGTTGGGACTGCAGGCGCCGGGTGTGGGGGGAGGGAGGGACAGACGTGGAGAGAGCAGACGGAGGGGTTCCTGTTCCCTCTGCTGGAGGCTCTTGTCCAAACGAGAAGCCGCTGTTGTAGTCTCCCCGTGGTGCTTCTGGCTGGACTTGGAGAGCCCTGAGCTTCAGAGGACGAGGCCTCACGGCCCTGCCCTCCTCAGCCCCAGCCCCTGGCCGGGGCCCTGCAGAGCGGCGTCTTCCCTCTGAGAACCGGGTTTGTGCCCGTTCGCCCATCCGTGTGTCCGTATGTTCAGGCCGGGTGCCTTCACGTGCTGTCTGTGGCACCAGGCGTGGTGGGAGTGTGTAGGAGCGCAGGCCAGGCCTCCGCCGCGGGGGGCTGCACCTCGAGCTGGACAAGGGGAGGAGGCGTTTGCCCCACAGAGGCGGAGGCGGGCAGAGACCGCAGCAGGGAGAGAGCAGGGCCGTCCTCCACCACAGCCCGTTCCTTCCTCGTGCGTCCCGACAGCGTGACTCTGCCAGGAACTTGGAGTGGCTGAAAACAGTGAAAGAGAGTCACGGGTCTGTGGAGCTGTCATCCCTGTCTCTGGCCACAGCGATCAACAATAAAGGCGTCTACGTGATTGAAGCACCCGCAGACGGCCAGAAGGTGAGCCCCCCCACAGCCCGGGCGCAGTCGGGAGGGTCTGTCTCCAGAAAGGTGACCTCTAAGGGTGCACCTTCCACAGATTTCCCCAGACACGGTTCTGCGTTTAACCCTTCCCGAGAGCCACGGGGACCAGGACGAGGAGCGAGACTATTCTTCAGAAGAGCTGAAGGAACTTTTGAACAAACTGATGCTAATGTCAGGCAGGAAGGACCACAACAGCACGGAAGTGGAAGTGTTCTCCGAGGTGAGAGCTGTGTTTGTGTTGGTGCTGAGGGCTCTCTGCTGAGTTGCCTGAGAAAGTAAGGACTTGAGTCTGGTCAAATTGCTGGGAATCCTTCTGCTCTTAAATGCCTGGCAGGTTCAGCCAGAGGCTGTGCAGAACCAGACCCGCATTCACGGCCCCAAGAGATGTCCCTGGCGTGGCAGGCCCGTGGGGTCGTAGCCTCTTCTTTTTTTAAAAAAATTTTTATTAAGGTATTATTGATAGACACTTATGAAGGTTTCACATGAAAAAACAATGTGGTTACTACATTCACCCATATTATCGAGTCCCCCTGATACCCCATCACAGTCACTGTCCATCAGTGCAGCAAGATGCCACAGACCCACTATGTCCCTTCTCTGTGCTACACTGTTCTCCCCGTGACCCCCCACACCATGTGTATTAAACATAATGTGCCTCAATCCCCTTCTCCCTCCCTCCCCACCCGCCCTCCCACACCCCTCCCCTTTGGTCACCGCTAGTCCCTTCTTGGAGTCTGTGAGTCTGCTGGTAAGTAGCCTCTTCTTAAGCTCCATAGACAGAATCGTCAGATAGTTGACAGTAAGGAAGAGATCACCCAGTGGACAGCTCTTAGAAAGAAACTGAAATTGCTTTATTCATTCTGTAAATCGGCAAGAATCCAAAAATATAAAGATTTAGGTAGGTATCCTTTATCAAATCCCAAGCAGCCACTCTGGTAAAGGCTCTCAGTTTATGTAACAGTCTCTGAGCTTTGTTCTGGCCTTTTCTCTTTAAAATTCACTGGTACTTTAACACGATATCCTTTATAACATATTGCTTCCTGAAGAGGAATCTTCTTTGAGGCTGATGACATAAATGCAGAAGGAAAGCCTGCGTCAGCCTTCTGTGCCCCAGGCCCCACAGTGAGCCGGTGGACGGCACCGTCCCACGTCTGGCAGGTCATGAGTCCTTGTGTGAGTCTAGACTGGACACGGCACCCAAGCCCCTCTGTGACGCCTGTCCCGTTCACATCCTTGCCAGGTGTTCTGCAGCGTGCAGAGGCTCGTCCAGGCCTTTATAGACCTCCACTCTGCTGGGAACATGCTGTTCAGAGCCTGGAAGGCCAGGGTGTCCTGCGCTCCCCAGGACGGCGTCTCCATTCGCATGGACTTCTGCTTGGAGCTGGTGGGCCAGCTCACGGGGAGTGGGCCGGTCGCCCGGCTGCTGGAAGCCCTGTGCTTGCAGATGGAGAAATTCTTGAAGCAGTGGAAGGAATTTGTGGCTGAGAAACGGGCTGCCCACTTCTACCTCAACTACTACACCGCTGAGCAGCTGGTGTATCTGAGCACGGAGCTCAAGAAGCAGGCCCCCAGCGCCGCCGCCCTCACCATGCTGTCCTTCATCAGGAGCAACTGCAGCCCAGAGGACGTGGCCCAGGCCTGCAGCGGGCTCGCCAGCGAGGCCACCCGCCAGCGCGAGAGGACGGTGGCGGAGGAGCTGCCGCTGCTCCTCTTCTCCGCAGGCAGCCTGGGGGACAAGCTGCAGGTCCTCACGCAGCAGTCGCTGGGCTGCATGAGCGCCTTCCTGCCCCACTGCCTGGACCTGGAGGCCTTGGGCTGCGGTCTGGCCCAGCTGGCGAGCATGGGGGGGCCTCCCGTGCAGCGGCAGCTCCCGAAAGGCCTGCAGGCCGGCCAGCCCAACCTCATTGTCTGTGGCCACTCTGAGGTGCTGCCGGCCGCCCTGGCCATCTACATGCACACCCCTGACCAGCCCCTGCCCACCTACGATGAGGTGTTGCTCTGCACCCCAGGAACCACGTTTGAGGAGGTGGCGCTCCTCCTGCACCGCTGCCTGGTGCCAGGCTCCCTGGGGTGCAGGGTCTACAGCCTGCTGTTCGCAGACCTGCTGAGCTACGAGGTGGCCTGCCAGGCCGAGGCGCTCTTCCTGCATCTGTGCACGAAGTGCCACCGGGAGGACTACCAGCTCCTGATGGTCTGTGACAGCGAGCGGGAGCACAGCTACCTCCCCTCGGCCTTCAGCCGCCACAAAGTCCTTGTGGTCCCCCAGGCGCCCCTCGAGGCCTTCCAGGCCTACCTGGCCCGTCACTACCAGGTCCCAGAGCAGACCGTGTCGGCCGCCGCTGTGTGTCGGGACCGGATGTGCGTTGGGATCGTGGCCTCCGAGAGAGCGGGTGTCGGTAATGACAGCTGCTGGGCGGAGGCCCCCGCGGGCCCCAAGGCCCCCTGACGGCCTCCCTGCCTATGGGGGGCGGCTCAGACGGAGCCCTGCGGGCCGTAGGGAGGCTGAGTCTCCGAGGTCTTGTGAGCCCTGCCTGTGCTGGAACGGGACACCCTTTCTCGTTCCTTTTCTCTCCTCCTCTCAGCTGCTTCTCTGCCATTCCTTCTTTTTAAATCGCTCTGGCCGCTTCAGGTTGGTGTGGGTCCTGAGAGGAGAAGGAGGGGTGACTGCTTTGTGTGGAGAAGAAACAACGGCCTGTCACCCTTCCAGGGGCTGTCACGACTCCCCTCCTGTTGACGGTGTCCGGTAACAGTGATGCCACCTCTGTGGGGGAGAGCCTGCTTCTCCCGGCACATGGCGCGCCCTACGGGGGCTGGCCTGGCCCTCGGACAGCCATCCTTAGTCCCAGGGCTCTGGCGAGGCTCGTGGGTGGGGGACAGTGAGGGAATTGGAGGGCTCGGTGGCGTGTCCCTCAATCTGATGCTCCGTTGCATCACTTTTCAATTTTGTACCAAGGGAAGTGACCTGGTTTCTCTTACTGTTAGTCCAGAGCACGGGCACCTAACATCCACATTTTAATGTTACAGGAAAGTCTCTCTACGTGAAGAGATTGCATGACGAACTGGAAAGAAAGTTTGGTGAGGAGAAAGAGTCTCTGAAAATTATTCGATTGATTGACCCTCAGGTGGATGAAAACCAAGTCCTGGGCTCTCTCCTGCCTTTCCTGGGTGCCCAGTATCAGGCCAGACCCATGATATTCCACTTCGACGTGACCTCTTCAGTGAGTGCGCAAGGATCCCCGCTCCTTCCCACCCCTGCCCTGCCTTCTCCCCCGTGTAAAGAGTCGCTTCTTTCTTCATGTACTGATATTTAGGATCATGGTATCAAATAATACGAGAGCATCCTTGGGTGGAGAGCACGGTTTTTTCTGTGTATTTACAAACCCACGCAATTCTGTCTTTAGGTGCAGACTGGAGTTTGGGCATTTCTTTTCAAGCTCCTCATTCTGCAGTATTTAATGGATGTAAATGGGAAAATGTGGCTTCGGAACCCGTGCCATTTATATATCATTGAGATCCTAGAAGGGAGCTCAACGCTGCCAAAGAGATCTTCAAAACTGGTGCGTATCCCAGGGCATGCCACGTGACCACTGGGCAGGGCCCTTGTGCGTGTCTGTGATTCCTGTTTTTGCCTTAGCCAAGCAGGTGAGTGCCAGTGTTAGGAGAGAAATCAATCTTTAAACTTCCTTTCCAATAATGTCTGATATAAAAATACTCTTTTATTAGTTAACAGTATCTTAAATGTTTTGTTCGATGTGGGATTGCTGCTCTGTGAACAGGGTGCTCTGAAGGCAGTGAATTCAGAGTCTGAGAGAGGTTACCTTTCACAATGCTAAGATGGGAAAAACTTTCATCATATAATTTCTTAGCATAAGGGAGTTTTATGCACACACACACACACACACACACACACGCCTGATGGAAAGATTTCATTCCAGGTAGTTGGGTAGAAAAGGATTCCTTGTTGAGAATGCAGTTCCCGCAGTGTTTTGACATGGCAACTATAACAACCTATACCAAAAGGAGTCTACAGAAACCACTTTATTATCAGTGGTTTTTCATGAAGGTCCTTTCACTACAGACCGTGTTGGGGGGTAAAGATGCAAAAGCATTTTTTAGGGAAGTCAGTCATAATCGTTTTATTCATGTCTCCCCTTTCCAGAGCACACATGCCCCCCAGTTCAGTTTTCTCGACATCTTCCCCAAAGTCACCTGCCGGCCTCCCAAAGAAGTGATAGACATGGAGCTGAATCCTGGGAAGAGCTGCAGAGACCCAGGGATGGACCAGAGAGAATTCTGCAGCGAAACCTTCCAAAGACCTTACCAGTATTTAAAACGGTTCCATCAGAAACAGGACCTAGACATGTTCAGATACAAAGATGGCCTCGTCGAAGACACCCCTGAGGAATGCCTCCAGCATTTCCTGATTTACTGTGGGATGATAAACCCATCCTGGTCAGAGCTTCGGAACTTTGCCTGCGTCCTGAACCATCAGCTCCGCGACTGCGAGGACTCCGACTTCTGCAACCCGGAGGTGATCAGGGACACGCTGGTGGGCTTCAAGACCTTCGTGGTGGCCTTCATGATCCTGATGGCGAGGGATTTCGCCACACCTACACTGCAGATGTTGGATGAGAGCCCAGGGAAGCACATGGTCACCATGGATGGGGCCACGGAAGAAGATCTAGCCCCTTTCTCTCTCCGAAAGAGGTGGGAGTCAGAGGCCCATCCCTACGTGTTCTTCAACAGCGACCACACGTGCATGACATTCATCGGCTTCCATTTCCAGCTCAACACGAACGGCAGCCTCGACGCCATCAATCTCGTGAGTCGGGAGGTGATCAAGAAGGAGGTCATGACAGTGGAGCTGTACCAGGCGCTGTTGCTTCAGGGGGTGCCCTTCAATGTCGACTTTGATAAGCTGCCCAGACATGAGAAACTCGAGAAGCTCTGCCTGGCCTTAGGGATCCAGCAGGCCATCGACCCCGATGAAACATACGAGCTGACCACTGACAACATGCTGAAGATCCTCGCCATCGAGATGCGCTTCCGGTGCGGGATCCCCGTCATCGTCATGGGAGAGACCGGCTGCGGGAAAACCAGGCTCATCAAGTTCCTTAGCGACCTGCGGCGAGGGGCTGTCAGGGCCGAAACCATGAAGCTGGTCAAGGTCCATGGGGGAACCACCGCAGACATGATCTACTCCAAAGTCAGGGAGGCAGAGGAACTTGCGCGCTTCAATAAGGACCACTACGAGCTGGACACCATCTTGTTCTTCGATGAGGCCAACACGACAGAGGCCGTAAGCTGCATCAAAGAGGTCCTGTGCGACCATACGGTGGGCGGCCAGCCTCTGGCCGAGCGCTCTGGCTTGCACATCATCGCGGCCTGCAACCCTTACCGGAAGCACTCGCAGGAGATGATCTGCCGCTTGGAGTCGGCTGGCCTGGGGTACAGGGTGCGTGCAGAGGAGACGGCGGACCGGCTCGGCTCCATCCCCCTGCGGCAGCTCGTGTACCGGGTCCACGCCCTGCCGTCGAGCCTGATCCCTCTGGTGTGGGACTTCGGGCAGCTGAATGACACGGCAGAGAAGCTGTACATCCAGCAGATCGTGCAGAGGCTGGTGGACTCCGTCGGGATAGAGGAGAACGAGATGCGCGTGATCGCAGACGTGCTCTCCGCCTCCCAGGGCTTCATGCGGGGGAGAGGCGACGAGTGCAGCTTCGTCAGCCTCAGGGACGTAGAGCGCTGCGTCAGGGTGTTCAGGTGGTTCTACGACCACAGCGAGATGCTCTTGTCCAGGCTGGACTCCTTCCTCTGCGAGTCCCCTGTCAGCAAAGGCAGCCTGGAGAGAAACCCTGTCCTCTGGTCTCTGGTGCTGGCCATCGGGGTGTGTTACCACGCCTCTCTAGAAAAGAAGGACTCCTATCGGACAGCCATTTGCAGGTTTCTCCCAGAACCGTATAATGACAGCAAGGTTATCCTGGACGAGATAACTCGAATGCAGGATCTTTTCCTGAGTGGTGTATCTCTGAGGAAAACCATTGCCAAGAACTTGGCCTTGAAGGAGAACGTCTTCATGATGGTCATCTGCATCGAGCTTAAGATTCCTCTCTTCTTGGTGGGGAAGCCCGGCAGCTCCAAATCTCTCGCCAAGACCATCGTGGCGGATGCTATGCAGGGCCAGGCCGCCCACTCGGACCTCTTCCGGAGCCTGAAGCAGGTGCACCTGGTGTCATTCCAGTGCAGCCCGCACTCCACCCCTCAGGGCATCATAGGCACCTTCAGGCAGTGCGCCCGCTTCCAGCAGGGGAAGGACCTGCAACAGTATGTGTCCGTGGTGGTGTTAGACGAGGTGGGGCTGGCGGAAGACTCCCCAAAGATGCCGCTGAAGGCCCTGCACCCTCTGCTGGAGGATGGGTGCATCGAGGACAACCCCGACCCCCACAAGAAAGTTGGCTTCATAGGTATTTCCAACTGGGCCCTGGACCCCGCCAAGATGAACCGGGGCATTTTCGTGTCGCGTGGCAGTCCCAGTGAGGAGGAGCTCATAGAGAGCGCCAGGGGCATCTGCTCTTCAGAGCCCCTAGTTCAAGAGAGAGTCCAAGGGTACTTTGCATCTTTTGCCAAAGCCTATGAGAAGGTATGTGAGCGCCAGGACAAGGAGTTCTTTGGGCTCCGTGACTACTACAGCCTCATCAAGATGGTCTTTGCCATGGCCAGAGCTTCTCACGAAGAGCCTTCCCCGCAGGACATTGCCCAGGCTGTGCTGCGGAACTTCAGTGGCAAAGACGACATCCACGCTCTGGACATTTTCACGGCCAGCTTGCCCGAGGCGAGGTGCTCGGAGGACATCAGCACCTTGCAGCTGATCAAGCAGAACATGTACAGTGACCGTCAACAGGCGGCTGGCGGGGAGCCGGACGGCACCGAGTCCCGCTACTTGCTTGTGCTCACCAGGAACTACGTGGCCCTGCAGATCCTGCAGCAGGTGTTCTTCGGCGAGGACCAGCAGCCAGAGATCATTTTTGGTTCCAGTTTTCCCAGGGACCAAGAGTACACCCAGATCTGCAGGAACATCAACCGAGTGAAAATCTGCATGGAAACGGGCAAGATGGTGGTGCTGCTCAACCTGCACAGCCTCTACGAGAGCCTGTACGATGCGCTCAATCAGTACTACGTCTACCTCGGGGGTCAGAAGTACGTGGACCTCGGCCTGGGCACCCACCGGGTCAAATGCCGGGTTCACCCGGACTTCCGCCTGGTGGTCATCGAAGAGAAGGATGTCGTCTACAGGCACTTCCCCATCCCCCTCATCAACCGGCTGGAGAAGCACTATCTGGATATCAACACTGTTTTGGAGAAATGGCAGAAAAATATCGTAGAAGAGCTCAAGATCTGGGTGGACAAGTTCGTAGATGTGAGCGCGGGGCGGTTTCTGGGCAGACACAGGTACAGCCCGTCTGACGTCTTCATCGGCTTCCACTCGGATGCCTGTGCCTCCGTGATGCTCCAGGTCACAGAGAGGCTGGACCGCGGGGCGCTGACCCATGACCTCTACCAGAAGGTGTCTGAGGCCGCCAAACTGGGCCTGCTGGCCTGCGCCACGCCGGACGCGGTGGTCCGGCTGAGCGCCTCCTCCCTGGGCCTGTTTGCTGCACAGTCCCTGTCCCGGGAATACTATCACAGGCAGCATCACAACTCCTTTGCGGACTTCCTGCAGGCCCAGCTGCGCACGCTGGGACCGGGGCGCCACATCGTCTTCACCGAGGTGATTATCTCTGCAGTGTGGCCGTTTCTCCTTTCACTGAAGGCCCTTGGATCCCCAGTGTCAGGAATTCGAGATGCTTTTCCAGTCAGTGTGTGGGAATCTCAGGTGGACGTGTGGAGGCTTTTCGGTCTTTAGGTTAAGTGCAGGAGATCCGGTTATTTATAAAAGTTCAGTTCAACCAAGTTTTGGGTGCCTGTTTCTGGGCAGTGTGCTCTGTGCTGATAGCAACGTTCAGTTCAGCCCAGGAAACAGCACATTGGCGCCCTGCGCTGAGGGCCCTGGGACGGAATTGTCAGCCTTGGGCAGCACGCCGGAAAGGCGGGGGCAGGCTCGTGAAGCAGTGCGTCGGCCTCACACGGTTGCACTGTCCACGGAGGCAGATGGGAGCCTCCAGGTCAGGAACAGGGTCAGCTGAGATCTCTAAGAGACGAGCCTCAGACTGACTGTGGAAGTGTATGCAGAGGGCCTCTCACTGTCTGCAGGAAACCGGGGCTCGGCTTTTGCTGGGACTCCAAGGTCATGGTTGCAAGTACCAAAAGTGGGGGAGGTGTCTGGGAGACCGCTGGGAGGCACCGAGTGGCTTGGCCTTCCTGCTGTGGACAGGGGTGGTGGGGAAATGTGTGCTGAGACGGGTCCCACTGCCTGGGAGAGGGGGAGGTAGTCTGGTAAAATACTACCGTAGAAAAGGCGAGCCTGCGGGGAGGCTGCTATGCTAGGTCAGGTGGGGCAGAGGAGCAGGTGAAGGGGACTGAGGAGTCATGAGGGTGTCCCTGGCAGAGCTGACGACACGTGTGGTGGCCATGGGGGATGGCAGAGTGTGGCAATGAGTCCCTGGGCCCTTCTTTGCCCAGGCGTTTTGTACAAGCAGCCAGTTTTGGGGAGGCAGTGGTAGACTCCACTCGGAGAGGTTTTGACGTCCCTGTAGCACCCAGGTGGACACAGCTGTCTGCAACCACATACAGGAATTGGAAGCTCAGGGGTAAGGCCCGTCTGGAGGCAGGTTTGGCCACCACGGTAGGAGCGTGCCTGTGAGGAGGGCTTGGTTTGCACCGTGTGATGTGATGAGCTACAGAGGAGAGCGGCTAACAGCTGTGGGAAGGGAGGGGCAGCAGAGGCTGGCTCCATCCTAAGCAGAATTGCCAGGAAGCACTGTCAGTGGGGGGGCCCTGAGGGGTCATGAGAATTTCTGAGGGGCCAAAGCAGGAAGGGACACCGGCGTCCAGGAGGGAGATGCGAACACATCTCCAGTGCCTTTGGATCCTGTGGGTTCTGTTTGCTTCAGCGCCATCCCATTTTTAGAAGAGGGTGTGGCTTGGGTCCTTTTCTGTCTGTGTGCCCACCACGTGACGCTGAGCCCATAGGAGATACTTGCTAAACATCACTGTGTTTCTAGAATCTCAGCCCAGCAGACACGCAGTCTTGCCTGGAGTTGGAGCAATAAATTGCATTTCCTGACTTTGCAGATCACCACGTTCTCCAGACTGCTAACCAGTTGTGACTGTGAAATCTTAGAATCGGAGATAAAGGGCAGGGCTCTGAAACTCACCGTCCTGTCGCTGCAGCTGTTCTACACGGAGTACTCCTTCCTCAGGGGAGTCCGGTGAGCCTCCCGGCCCCCCGCTGCCGCTCCGTTCCCCAGCCCTGACCACTTTGTATCTCATCTGCACGACTACAGTAACCCCTGGAGTCACCAGTGCGGGCGAGCTGAGGACACGGGACCCTGTGCTCCCGTGTCTGCTGCTCCTCTGCTTGAACACCATTCTCTGAAACCAGCGTCCGTGTATCTCATTAGGAAGCATGTATTGGGCTCTGTCCTTTCTCCAGTGGACTTCCTGCTCACCTTGCAGAGGAGAATCTCTCCTCAATAGTGTTTTCTATGTGTTTTTTGTATTTCCCATCACCTTGGGGGGATTTTATGACCCAATTTATAGGTCGGAGAAGTCACTTGGGCGGTTTCCCTTTTTTCTTTTTTCAGAGACTGCTTAACTAACACAGCCAGCTGTAAAGTCCTCATTATTCAAACAGATTTTGAAGACGGAGTTCGTAGCGCTCAGCTTATCGCCTCAGCTAAGTATGTTTTTATTACTTTTCTTGGAAAGTAACATGGGAAACTCAAAACGCGTTCAGGTGCTCCTAAGGAATTTTTTCCCCAGAAAACAGTATAGTATCAGAATAAACATAGAAGTAAAAATAAAGACTTTCCCTTTGTATTT